CCAGTGATTTAAGTGGATAGAGGACAGCACTCAGATTGGTGTTACTCAAAGTGATGCCGCCCAAAAAAAGCTTTCTTAAGTTGACAAGGGGGACAAAGGTATTTTGATGGAAATTGCTCAAAATTGTGCTTCCTATGGATAAACTTCTTAAGTGCGCTTGCCCTTTAAAGAAGCCCGGTCCAAAATGTCCAACTCCGTCTCCACCAGGGCCTTGGTAGCGTAACTCTACGTACTCTAGTGCGGTCATGTTAATGAATGGAGCGTCGTCCTTATCAAAATGAAGGCAGTTGTTATACAACACCAGCTGTTTCAGTTTCACAAGACCTTGTAGGATGGCAGGAGTCAATCTTTTGATATGGTTCCCAGATAGGTCCAGGTAATCAAGATTTTCCAGGTCTCGGAAGGATCCTTCCTCAATGTATTTGATAATATTGAGGCTGAGGTCCAGCTTCACAAGTCTGCTGAGTTTGCTGAAAGGTTGATTGGTGATGTATCTAATGACATTGTATCGCATGTAAAGCTCTTCAAGGTTCTGTAGGTCACTGAAAGTATTTGGAATAAATTCAATGATTTCATTTCCGATAATGGACAAGCATCTAAGGTTCCTTAGAGGGAGGAACCAGCGAGGGTTGAGTTCTCGAATCTTGCTTCTATCCAGACTTAGGAACGTCAAATTTCTGAGGCCAGTAAACGTATCCATTTGAATGTTCAGCTTGTTATCATTAAGTTGTAAAGTTTCAAGACCCCCAAGGCTTCGGAAGGTGGTGTGAGAGATGTCCTTTAACCCACAGTCAACGAGATAAAGTCTTTTCGTTTTTCTCCCATCCTGCACCAGCTGGGTTTCTCCCAAATCCCCCAGATTCGCTTTTTCCAAGACTACCATATTTGGTGTGGAGCATTCTAACAGGACAGAGACATTTGGAGGTAATTTGGATCTTCCAAGATTGATCTCTAAGCTTGAAAGGCTGTCCATCACTTCCAGGAGGCCGCAAATAGTGAAATTAGATCTTTCAAGAGAAAAAGAGAATGCCACCATTGAAAGAGATTGCTTCGTCTCCATTGGAATTCCAGCAAAGAATTCTGTTTCTATCCCCATAAGGAGCAGGCGCTTCAATCTGTGGTTGTGAGCAAAAATGCCTGACTTTGGATGTAATCCAGAGTTGTTCGAAAGGTTAATGTAGGTAAGAGCAGGAAAGCCACTGACATTCAAATGGTCAATGTTGTTGCCCAAAAGACTAAGCCAGGACAAAGAGGTGTTGTTGTACACACCACTCTGTAGACTTTGTAGTTTATTCCTAGAAATGTCAGCCGATTCAATATTAGGAAGGAAATTAAAAATTTCAGGGAAAATTTTGTGAATTATGTTTTTTGACAAATCGAGGACCCTTAACTGTGTCAGGTCGCGGAATACAACAACCTTGATGACTGAGATGTTGTTTCTGGAGATGTTTAGAATGGACAGCATGTGTAGTCCTTTGAATTCACCTCCTCTTAGAGATGAGAGTTTGTTCTGGTCCAGGGTTAATACACTCAAATTATAGAACTTGAGGAATGTCTCAGGCAGAATGGTTTGGATTTTGTTCTTGGACAGATTAATCTTGGTGGCATTTTCGGGGATGTTCTGTATGACATCCGACACATTCACAATGTTTTGACTACTACACCAGATAGTGGTGGGGTCATTATAGTTTGCCTGACACCCCTTAAATCCATAGCCACAGCTGAACCTGATGTTGATGAGAAGCATGAATAAAAGACAGGATCTTGACATCTTCTCTTCATAGCCAACTTCACCTGAAGTAAAACAGGGTTTTAAAACAGGAAATACAGAAAAGTAACACAAGCTAGAACACACCACACAATAACCACGTTTCCATCAACAGTTTTTATGCCAGTAAAAAAAAATCACCACAACTGTGATGGAAACAGGTAGTTTCGGTAAAATATTATAAATGCTGACAGATAATTTGTTCGTTCGACATGGTGGGATCTTTTTATGTCGGTAAAATTAATTATGCGATAAATGGTGGTGGAAACGCCTTTATTCGCAAATATTGATATAATAACCATCATATCAAAAGTAAAATGGGAGAACAAAGTAAAATTGGAGTCACGCGATGATATTGTGTGTGGTTCTCCCACTACGACTCGGGAAAACCTACAGTTTATTAGGCTACAGATTAAATAAATTATGATCTTCACAGGGTGGTGAAAGTGCACAGTGATCTTGATGCTCCTTTCCAATAAATATCAAGGGTCTTATTCTGGTGACATGATGATCGATGCTTGACTGCCGTTTGACAAATAAAAAGATAGTCTCATGTAGAATCCCCACTGTATCTGCGAGCTGTTGGCTAGAGCGCACGTGCCAAGACTACAGTGGGCACATTTGCTATTTAGCGCAACAGTTTTTGTGACTAAACTATCGATGGAAACACATTGAACATACATTTTGTGTGCACTACGTAATGGCGCACTGACTTTTATCCACAACAAGTCCATTTGGTGGAAACACACCACTGGTGGGAAAATTGGCATATTTTCTTTATGTGGATTTTAGAATATTCGCAAAAAAATCTGCCGCCAATTGGATAAAAATCTGTCGCCAATTGGATGGAAACCTAACTAATGGTACACATATTTGAATACCATCTCAAAAATGGTGTATCAAGTTCATTACTTTGACATACCACTATACACATTTGCATCGGAAAATAAGATCAAATTGGAGATTGAACAAGACCGAGATCATTCTAATTCTATGGTGATAACATTGTCATAAGTGGTAACTTCATTGTAGCATCCAGACAGATGATCAAAAGGCTATTTGTTTGTATAACCCTGTGTGCAATTATATCAGAACATGCTCTCATCAAATATATTTTCCTGAATGAACATCTTGCACCTATTTTATTAATAAAAGAAAATACCAACATACCAGTTAATCTTCAGATGTGTACTCTGCTGTGTACTCTGCTGTGTTTAATCTAATATGCACTTCTACAAGAACGGTCCCTTGGGCTCTACATGCAGATCTTAATATACTGTGCTGTGTGTGTGTGTGTGCGTGTGTGTGTGTGCGTGTGTGTGTGTGTTTGCGTGTATGCGTGAGTGTGCGTGCGTGTGTGTGTTTGCGTGTGTGTGTGTGTGTACAATATATGTGGGTTGGATCTAAGATGGTGTATAGATGGTGGTCTCGTACAGTTCTCTCTTTTTTTATACATTGGGTAGGCTCTATTTCTTTGAAATGGTATCAGTCTTCATCAGGACATATACATATTACATATCACTGGAGAAAATAGTCCAATGTCCTCAAAAAATGTCCATGAATATTGTCTGTTGTAAACTGGGTGGTTTGAGCCCTGAACGCTGATTGGCTGACAGCCTTGGTATTTTCAGACCTTATACCACGAGTACAACAAAACATTTATTTTAGCTGCTCTAATTACGTTGGGAACCAGTTTATAATAGCAATAAGGCACCTCTGGGGTTTGTGACCAATATACCACGGCTAAGGGCTGTGTCCATTCACTCCGCGTTGCATTGTGCTTAATAACAGCCCTTAGCCGTGGTATATTGGCCATATACCACACCCCCTCGGGCCTTATTGCTTAATAATAAACCTTGCTGAAATGTACCCCCTGCATACAATGCTGCCTCCAATCACCCCATAGTGCATAATAATACATTGAGACATTGGCGGCAGGTAGCCTAGCGGTTAAGCGCGTTGGGCCAGTAACCGAAAAGTCACTGGTTCAAACCCCCTAGCAGACTAGGTGAAAAATATGTCGATGTTCCTTTGAGCCAGGCACTTAACCATAATTGCACCTGGAATTTGCTCTGGATAAGAGCGTCTGCGAAATGACTTTGTTTAAGCTGTAGCTACTACCTGGAAATAGTCTACCCCCGGGGTAGTTATATGATACGGATGTCATTACTGAAATTACCTAGACAATGATTAGTCAATCATGGTAAATACACAAACACACTGTAATTTAACATACTTCTCATAATATAATGTAGAGGTGATATCCACCACTTGAAATAATACCTTATTGCATTATCTATGTTTCTCTTACAAAGGGCATGCCCCAATACATATACTATGCCTCACCACACCTGAGAAATAAATAACTTACCTGATTAATCAATAACATGATTTGATCCATTTTACAGTTCAACACACACACACACTCACACACACAGAGAGACAGAGACCGACATAATTCAAGTATCATTAGCGTTGCCAGACTTTAATGACCTCTAGTGTATTTATATGAGGGCAGGCATTTGTTTGACTTACTCGTCTGCTGGTTTTCACCAGATTAGTTATCCTGGCTAGGGCTAACGTGTTTAGGGTTGCCATGACAACGGTCAAACTTTGTCAGAGCAATTCACCCATTGAGTGCCTTTCAACGTCAGCTTGCTGAGCTGATTTTAGGCTCTTTTATCACACATCCTGGCAGGAGAGTAGGAAGAGACAGATCAGAAAGGTTTGGTATTCATAAAATTATTTGATTATTTATCCTGTGTTCTTTGTCATTTGTGTGGATGCGCGTAATGCATTTTATGGAAACACTTGAACTACAGTATCTATAGACAGTGCAGCGCATAGTTTGATTTCATATGATCATTATACCTTGCATGGAGCATTAGGCAATTGCACAAAATAAGTTATTATAATACACAATGTTAATATTTTGAACAAGTTGTCTTTTGTTGGAGGAGTTTTCATACTTTTATTGTGTTCAACAGCAAGGCATTATTTTCAATGGACCAATGGGTTTATTTGTTAAGACTGTTGTTCAATACTGCAATAAAGTTACGCCTAGATCATGTACAGGTGTAAGATCAAGATAATTTTGGCAAACTGGATCCAATTAAGATCCTACACTTGTAGGACTCAAAGTTGGAGGCTTACATGGTGATATGATTTTAACCATGTCGTCTAATAGTCTAAAACCAAAAGTGACTATTAACTAACTCCTCTGCGCTTTAAGATGTGTGACAGTGAGAGTCTCCAGCCAGATGAAGTAGTGGACCCTGAGGTGGTTGAGGGGTCCAGCATCCCCCCAGCGGAGAAGGTGGATCCAGGGGAGGAAGTGTCCAACCCTCCCCCAGAGGAAAGCCTTGACGCTGGGGAGACGATGCAGGACAGCTCTGAGGAAGCAAAGAGGGAACCAGAGAACAAGACGGAGGGAGAGCTAAGCCAGACAACTGCACCTGACCATTCAAATGAGTTAAAACCTCCACTTGTTAGTATACGAAAAGGTACAGTGCAAGTATATGGGTAGACCTATAGACATACAGGAAGTTCAAACACAGACCATGCCATACAGTACATATAGACGTGAAGCTCTGATTTTATTGGCCACGAAAATAGAAAGTCATGTTTTGCCATATCAACAGACGTGGGTGTGAGTGGACACAGGCGAATAGGAGGTCACAACCCTAAAAGCACCAATCACACGGCATCGGCAGCTCTTCCTTCCTCAACCGCCAGTACAACTGTGAGTATTTACGAGGTCAAGACAGCTGAAAGGGTACAAAGGGTGTTAACCCCTCACAGTCATTTTTCAGTATTTTTATTTTTAATGAGTTGAACTTTTGATGGGCACAACTGATCAGTTAACATTTTTTCATATGTTTTCACCTGTCTCTGTGTGTCCACGGCCTTATTCATATCTCACAATATGGGTGAAGTTTGTTTATGGGGAAAACATAAAGCTTCTTTAATCCAGTTCTCCCTAAACTAATGTCACAGTAACGGCTGCGAGGTTGTGTTTTCTTTCACTCCCATTCTGTCTGGATCTGATCAGGTTTCAGGGAAACGGACGATGGTACTCTCCAACGAGGCCAGGAAAGAGATGGCCAAACAGGCCAGGGCTGCCAAGGATGAGCGTCGGGCCATGCTAGACGCCCGCCACAAGTACCTCATAGCCAAGCTTGTGGACAGTGTGAGCCTGGGGGAGACTGAGGTGGAGGAGGCCTTTATATCGGATGACAAGGTAGGGGAGGGGGGGGGTTTGGGGGGGGGTTGGTCAGACATTTACAATGCATCCAAACTCCCATAATACCAACTGTCATAAATTCTGCCCTAGTTCAATTTGATAGAGGAATTCTTTGCGCCTAATGGATCAAAGAGGTTGATATTCTTCTATCAAGACATAAAAGCGGTAAACTGACTTACACACACTTTCTCTTCATTGTCATAATAAAAAAATGGAGTGAAGAACATTAGTCCTATAATATTCAATAATTTTACTTTCCCCATCTCCCTTTTTTCAGCCTTCATCAAACCACCCAACCTGGGTAGACACAGTCAGTTCTACCCCCGGGCAGAAAAAGCTCTTTGTCACCACTGGAACTTCAGAGGTAACGTTTTGATGCAGAACTGATTTAAGTCTGTGTTGGTTCTACTTCTACTTGAAATCCTCGTCCGGAACTTCTTCCATTTAATAATTATCTCTGACAAACGTTTCTAGCCCTAAAAGAGGACTTGAATGCCATCATGGCTTTCCAAAACACAGGACGTAATTGTCACGCTCTTTCTTTAAAGTATACAGTACTGCACTCAACACCTTGCAAGCATAGTAATGGGGAAGAACACTCTTCGTGAAATATACCAGAGCTACCCTTCTCCAAACAAGCGTATCAGAATGACCTCATAATTACTAGTTTGGTAATGTTTGTATTACGTTGGTATTGGAGACAGAGCCTCTGCCACTTCTTAAGTGTTGATTTCCATGGTATCAGTAACAAACAAGACGCTTTCTTTGTTTCTTTCATTCAGTCTCATTACCCGACCTTGGCTCTTATGTTTCAGGCCTTACTTGAAAAGTGTTTGTTTTTCTTGAGAACAACAGACAAGGCCATAACGACCGCCAACGTTTCTCAGGTCAGTAAGCCTAGCGTTTCTGGCCACCACTTTAGTGGCACTGTTTACAGATAGCTTCATTGTTGTGCTGTTGCTCCTGTACTGCTTGTGTCTTCCAGGAAGTGAATTTCGGAATGCTAGACTGCACTAATGGGAACATTTTGTACAGTTTGGAGAAACTGTTCTCACAAATTATGCTGCCTGCACTCAAGTCTCAAGAGGTAATTCCCTATCGAGTGTAATTCCCTATCGACATGCATGCTAAGTTGTTCAAAGTAAACAGAATAATCAAACACAACAATTCGTTTTGCTTGATTTGATACTCAACTCTCCTATATCTCCTCTACTTCAACCCCAATAAATGTTTTGTTCAATCCTCACCAGAATTGGGGCTCCATGAAGGATGGACTTCAGAATGCTCAGATTCAGGACTTCCTGAGTTCAGTGGACAAGTTCATTTGCAACCTCTCCTCTGCCAGACTGAATATGGAGGGAAAGTTCCAACTCCACAGAATGGACACTGGACAGAGCCTAAGCAGCCTGCTAGGCCCAGCAGACTACACAGCTGCAGGTATAGAAGTTACCTAAGTTATGGTATAGAAGTTGAAGTTTTTGTTTGTGATTAGCGACTGTCAAGTCTGGTGTATGCTGTGGTAAATGTATTCATTCTTACTTATTTGCCTGTCACCGTTATGATCAGCAATTATTTCCCCTTAGGGATTAATACAGTTGATTTAATTAAATTGAATTGATAGTCCTGCGCAAAGAAAAATCTCTTAGGGTAGAATAGACGATGTATAGTACAGCACATGCACAGGAGGCTGCTGAGGGGAAGACGGCTCATAATAATGGCTGGAACGGTGCAAATGGAATGGCATCAAACACATGGAAACCATGTGTTTGATGTATTTGATACCATTTCCCTGATTCCACTCCAGCCATTACCACGAGCCCGTCCTCCCCAATTAAGGTGCCACCAACCTCCTGTGAGTACATCCTACAAGGGCAGATACTGGACATGAACAAGCATCATAGAATAACATCAATGTCAGCAGTACTGCTAAGCTCATACTGCATATGAGAAAATAAATGCTCAAAGTAAGTCTGTAGCACAGACAGTTTGTCTCTTCCCTCTAGCCAATAACTCAGAGCTGGTGGAGGAGCTGGAGGGCGTTCTCCTTCACTGGGCCCACCAGATTGAACAGGTGCTGACAGAGGGCGAGCAAATGAGGAAGGAGGCCGATGACATAGGGCCCTCTGCTGAACTGGAGCATTGGAAAAGCCGCATGACCACGTTTAACAGGTACCCATACTCACTTGTCATGCCACCTACCAGAAGAATCCCCCCTTTTTCTGACACATGGCTCAGCTCCACACTCAGTCTGTCTCAATACACAACCTTGAACACTAGACAATCTGTGACATTTACGTCATTTAGCAGACATTAGGGTCAAGTGCCTTGCTCAAGGGCAGAGACTTTTCACCTAGTCGGCTCGGGGATTCAAACCAGAGACCATTCGATTACTGGCCCAACGTTCTTAACCGCTAGGGTACCTGCCTATTCCAATAAATTGTTAGGTTATACTGTCCAATAGTATTCTGAATGCCGCATGTCTTGGTTGGTGTGTTGGTTGAGTGCACACTAGTCTATATTGAATGTGATCTATGTTTTCTCAGCCTAATGGATGAGATCAAACGACCTCATGTGAGGAAAGTTATTGGAGTGCTGCAGGTGGCCAAGTCAAAGACACTAAGGACTTGGAGAGAGCTGGTCAGTTTCACTCTCTCTCTATTTTGTATATACTGCATATGTAAAGTCAGGCATTAATTATCAGTTGCATTCAGTCAATTTTAACATGGATATTTTGAATTCAAGCTGTTACCTTTCGGACTAATGCTACATAGTGAGTTTTACTGTGCTTTTCACACAGTTCAGTGGGGTTGTGTGTGAGCAAAATTAAGCCCTATAGAAACATAACATAAATCTTATTTGCTGTAGGATGGAAACATCACTGTTGTAGCAAATGAAGCAAAAGACAATGTGAAATACCTCTACACATTGGAGAAGTTCTTTGGTCCGCTTGGAAAGTGCACTCCGGTAAGAACGTTGACATCAAATCAAATTTTATTGGTCGCATACATATATTTAGCAGATGTTATTGCAGGTGCAGCGAAATGTTTGTGTTCCTAGCTCCAACAGTGCAGTAATATCTAAGAAATATTAAGACGAGCAATCTCGGAGTCCGGAGTGTATATCAATTATATACAGTACCAGTCAAAAGTTTGGACACACCTACTCATTCAAGAGTTTTTCTTTATTTTTACTATTTTCTACATTGTAGAATAATAGTGAAGACATCAAAACTATGAAATAACACATATGGAATCATGAACTAACCAAAAAAGTGTTAAATATATTTGAGATTCTTCAAAGTAGCCACCCTTTGCCTTGATGACAGCTTTGCACACTCTTGGCATTCTCTCAACCAGCTTCATGAGGAATGCTTTTCAACAGTCTTGAAGGAGTTCCCACATATGCTGAGCACTTGATGGCTGCTTTTCCTTCACACTGCGGTCCAACTCATCCCAAACCATCTCAGCTGGGTTGAGGTCGGGTGATTGTGGAAGCCAAGTCATCTGATGCAGCACTCCATCACTTTCCTTCTTTGTCAAATAGCCCTTACACAGCCTGGAGGTGTGTTGGGTCATTGTCCTGTTGAAAAACAAATGATAGTCCCACTAAGCGCAAACCAGATGAGATGGCATATCGCTGCAGAATGCTGTTGTAGCCATGCTGGTTAAGTGTGCCTTGAATTCTAAATAAATCACTGACAGTGTCACCAGCAAAGCACCCCCACACCATCACACCACCTCCTCCATGCTTCATGGTGAGAACCACACATGCGGAGATCATCCGTTCACCTACTCTGCGTCTCGCAAAGACACGGTGGTTGGAACCAAACATTTCAAATTTGGACTCATCAGACCAAAGGACAGATTTTCACCGGTCTAATGTCCATTGCTCATGTTTCTTGGCCCAAGCAAGTCTCTTCTTCTTATTGGTGTCCTTTAGTAGTGGTTTCTTTGCAGCAATTAAACTATGAACTATTCCCACGGGGGGCCAGTATGAAAAATAATGTATGCACTCACTAACTGTAAGTCGCTCTGGATAAGAGCGTCTGCTAAATGACTAAAATGTCAAATGTAATGAAGGCCTGATTCACGCAGTCTCCTCTGAACAGTTGATGTTGAGATGTGTCTGTTACTTGAACTCTGTGAGGTGCAATCTGAGGTACAGTTAATTGCCCATTTCTGAGGCTGGTAACTCTAATGAACGTATCCTCTGCAGCAGAGGTAACTCTGGGTCTTCCTTTCCTGTGGTGGTCCTCATGAAAGCCAGTTTCATCACAGCGCTTGATGGTTTTTGCGACTGCACTTGAAGAAACTTTCAAAGTTCTTGAAATGTTCCGGATTGACTGACCTTTATATCTTAAAGTAATGATGGACTGTTGTTTCTCTTTGCTTATTTGAGCTGTTCTTGCCATAATATGGACTTGGTCTTTTACCAAATAGGGCTATGTTCTGTATACCAGCCCTACCTTGTCACAACACAACTGATTGGCTCAAACGCATTAAGAAGGAAAGAAATGTCATTTAATAAGGCACACCTGTTAATTGAAATTCATTCCAGGTGACTACCTCATGAAGCTGGTTGAGAGAATGCCAAGAGTGTGTAAAGTTGTCATCAAGGCAAAGGGTGGCTACTTTGAAGAATCTCAAATATAAAATATATTTTGATTTGTTTAACACTTTTTTGGTTACTACAGGATTCAATATGTGTTATTTCATAGTTTTGATGTCTTCAGTACTATTCTACAATGTTGAAAATAGTAAAAATAAAGAAAAACCCTTGAATGAGTAGGTATGTCCAAACTTTTGACTGGTACTGTATGTATGTTATGGGATGTATTGACATTATGGACAGTATGTGGATAGAATATGTAGTATATCTGAAGAATGATAGAATAGTATATGTATGCCTCCCGAGTGGCACAGCGGTCCAAGGGACTGTATCGCAGTGTTGTGGTGTCACTACAGCCCGGAAGTCCCATAGGGCGGCGCATAATTGGCCCAGCATCGTCCGGGTTAGGGGAGGGTTTGGCCGAGTGGGCTTTACTTGGCTCATCGTGCTCTAGCGACTCTTTGTGGTGGGCCGGGCTTCTGCAGGCTGACTTTGGTCGTCAGTTGAACAGTGTTTCCTCCGACACATTGGTGCAGCTGGCTTCCGGGTTAAGCGAGCAGGTGTTAAGAAGCGCGGCTTGGCGGGTCATGTTTCGGAGGACGCATGACTCGACCTTCGCCTCTCCCGAGCCCGTTGGAGAGTTGCAGCGATGAGACAAGGTCATAATCACGAAATTGGAGAGAAAAAGGGGTAAAAAATATACATTATAATAAAAAAAGAATAGTATATGTATAGCAATAGTTACATAGGCTGGCCTTGACTAGAATACAGTATATACATATGAAATGGGTAAAACAGAATGTAAACATTATTAAAGTGACCGGTGTTTCATTATTAAAGTGACCAGTGTTCCATGTCTATTTACATAGGGCAGCAGCCTCTAAGGTGCAGGGATGAGTAACCGGGTGGTAGCTGGCTAGTGACAGTGACTAAGTTCAGGGCAGGGTACTGGGTGGAGGCCGGCTAGGGATAGCTATTTAACAGTCTAATGGCCTTGAGATTAAAGCTGTTTTTCAATGTTATCAGGTGGGTGGAAATATGCACTAGATTGATGAAAATGATGCCAAATAATATTCTAAGGCTAGAAATTCGAATGCTTTTGACTTTAGCATTAGGATTAATGCTTTTGCGAAATGCAAACAGTCCTCAAAGCCTAAATTCATGTACATTTACAGTGGGGAGAACAAGTATTTGATACACTGCCAATTTTGCAGGTTTTCCTACTTACAAAGCATGTAGAGGTCTGTAATTTTTTATCATAGGTACACTTCAACTGTGAGAGACGGAATCTAAAACAAAAATCCAGAAAATCACATTGTATGATTTTTAAGTAAATAATTTGCATTTTATTGCATGACATAAGTATTTGATCACCTACCAACCAGTAAGAATTCCGGCTCTCACAGACCTGTTAGTTTTTCTTTAAGAAGCCCTCTTCTTCTCCACTCATTACCTGTATTAACTGCACCTGTTTGAACTCGTTACCTGTATAAAAGACACCTGTCCACACACTCAATCAAACAGACTCCAACCTCTCCACAATGGCCAAGACCAGAGAGCTGTGTAAGGACATCAGGGATAAAATTGTAGACCTGCACAAGGCTGGGATGGGCTACAGGACAATAGGCAAGCAGCTTGGTGAGAAGGCAACAACTGTTGGCGCAATTATTAGAAAATGGAAGAAGTTCAAGATGACAGTCAATCACCCTCGGTTTGGGGCTCCATGCCAGATCTCACCTCGTGGGGCATCAATGATCATGAGGAAGGTGAGGGATCAGCCCAGAACTACATGGCAGGACCTGGTCAATGACCTGAAGAGAGCTGGGACCACAGTCTCAAAGAAAACCATTAGTAACACACTACCCCGTCATGGATTAAAATCCTGCAGCGCACGCAAGGTCCCCCTGCTCAAGCCAGCGCATGTCCAGGCCCGTCTGAAGTTTGCCAATGACCATCTGGATGATCCAGAGGAGGAATGGGAGAAGGTCATGTGGTCTGATGAGACAAAAATAGAGCTTTTTGGTCTAAACTCCACTCGCCGTGTTTGGAGGAAGAAGAAGGATGAGGACAACCCCAAGAACACCATCCCAACCGTGAAGCATGGAGGTGGAAACATCATTCTTTGGGGATGCTTTTCTGCAAAGGGGACAGGACGACTGCACCATATTGAGGGGAGGATGGATGGGGCCATGTATCGCGAGATCTTGGCCAACAACCTCCTTCCCTCAGTAAGAGCATTGAAGATGGGTCGTGGCTGGGTCTTCCAGCATGACAACGACCCGAAACACACAGCCAGGGCAACTAAGAAGTGGCTCCGTAAGAAGCATCTCAAGGTCCTGGAGTGGCCTTGCCAGTCTCCAGACCTGAACCCAATAGAAAATCTTTGGAGGGAGCTGAAAGTCCGTATTGCCCAGCGACAGCCCCGAAACCTGAAGGATCTGGAGAAGGTCTGTATGGAGGAGTGGGCCAAAATCCCTGCTGCAGTGTGTGCTAACCTGGTCAAGACCTACAGGAAACGTATGATCTCTGTAATTGCAAACAAAGGTTTCTGTACCAAATATTAAGTTCTGCTTTTCTGATGTATCAAATACTTATGTCATGCAATAAAATGCAAATTAATTACTTAAAAATCATACAATGTGATTTTCTGGATTTTAGTTTTAGATTCCGTCTCTCAGTTGAAGTGTACCTATGATAAAAATTACAGACCTCTACATGCTTTGTAAGTAGGAAAACCTGCAAAATCGGCAGTGTATCAAATACTTGTTCTCCCCACTGTATATGCAAATCCTTGAAACTGTCCATGCCACAAACTGACATAAGATATAAGACGACAATGTTAAAACACTGCACCTGTATATGTACGATGTGTACGACCAATTAGACAAGACAAGTCACTGTGTATTACCTCTTCTAGACGAGCATGTTGGAACACATCCCCAGCCTGATGAACAGCATCCGTATGATCCACAGCATCTCCCAGTACTACAACACCTCAGAGAGAATGACCTCTCTCTTTGTCAAGGTCACCAACCAGATGATTACAACCTGCAAGGCCTACCTATGCCAGGACGTGGCCAAGGTCTGGGATCACAACAGGTATTTATCCAGAAATAATAATATATGTGATCACTGCAGGAATTTAACCCACAACCTAGGCATTGCTAGCAGCACACTCTTACCATATGAGCCACACAGCTGGCTTTCATCCTCCATGGTCCAAAATCAATGATGCTCTGCAATTGTTCTGGACTGCTGAAGTAAACTTTTACAGTGCATTCGGAAACTATTCAGACTCCTTGACTTTTTGCACATTTTGTTACGTTACAGCCTTATTCTAAAATGGATTAAATTAAAATGTTTCCCTCATCAATCTACACACAATACCCCATAATGACAAACTGAGAACAGATTTTTGAATTGTTTGCAAATTTATTAAAAATAAAAAACAGAAATACCTTATTTACATAAGTATTATGTAAATAAGCTGCAAAGAAAAAGCCATATCTCAGACTGCCCATCTTAATCTTTTCTTTTTATTGGCCAGTCTGAGATATGGCTTTTTCTTTGCAACTCTGCCTAGAAGGTCAGCATCCCGGAGTCGCCTCTTCACTGTTGACGTTGAGACTGGTGTTTTGCGGGTACTATTTAATGAAGTTGCCAGTTGAGGACCTGTGAGGCGTCTGTTTCTCAAACTAGACAGTCCTCTTGCTCAGTTGTGCACCGGGGCCTCCCACTCCTCTTTCTATTCTGGTTAGAGCCAGTTTGCACTGTTCTGTGAAGAGATTAGTACACAGCGTTGTATGAGATCTTCAGTTTCTTGGCAATTTCTCGCATGGAAGAGCCTTAATTTCTCACAACAAGAATAGACTGACGAGTTTCAGAAGAAAGTTCTTTGTTTCTGGACATTTTGAGCCTGGAATCGAACCCACAATTGCTGATGCTCCAGATACTCAACTAGTCTCAAGAAGGCCAGTTTTATTGCTTCTTTAATCAGCACAACAGTTTTCAGCTGTGCTAACATAATTGCAAAAGGGGTTTCTAATGATCAATGAGCCTTTTAAAATGATAAACTTGGATTAGCAAACACAACGTGCCATTGGAACACAGGACTGATGGTTGCTGATAATGGGCCTCTGTACGCCTTTGTAGATATTCCATTAAAAATCAGCCGTTTCCAGCTACAATAGCCATTTACAACATTAACAATGTTTTCACTGTATTTCTGATCAATTTGATGTTATTTTAATGGACAAAAAAATTGCTTTTCTTTCGAAAACAAGGAAATTTCTAAGTGACCCCAGACTTTTGAACGGTAGTGTGTGTGTGTGTGTGTGTATATATATATATATATATATATATATATATATATGTATATATATATATATGGCATACAGTATATATATGACATACAGTATATATATATATATATACTGTATGCCATAATTATTCCACATTATACACATACATTTACCCCATATTAATCGATCACCATGTGTGACAAATGAAACTCTGAATGGAAAATATTGATTTATTTAGCAAAATAACAAACTGCAGCTATAAAACCGTTTCAACCTATTTCCGTAAAGTAAGTAAGCCTCTGAGATCGAAGTAGGGATGTAGGCAATCTTTCTGCACAGTCATGGTATGCAAGCAATATTATAAGTCACCCAATAACTTCTTGCTGAAAGTGGCCCTGCTTTCCAACTCAAAGACTCTGTAAACTGCAGTACTATGCACATATTTCAGGACAACTCTACTCTGAAAGATGTTGCTTCATTCATAAGTACATTTGTCTATTCTGGAGGACATTCAAATGAAAGCAGTTAATTTTACATTTTTGCTTCCAACTAATCAACAATTATGGTGATGATTGTGAGGTTATGTTTTTTCTAAAATGATGCTAAAGTAAACCTACAACTGTGCCAAGCAACTATTGCGAAATAAATATAATTATATTATTCACACTTCGGATGGATTTCTATGCTTTATTTGTTAGCATATGAAACAGTGTTATTGAAGGAAGTCTATGGCATGTCTCCTCTCAGAAACGAGATGTTGAGGAGGATCAGAGAATGCACACAGCTCAACCAGGAGTATCAGCTGTGCTTCCAGAGGGTACGGGAGAAGCTTCGGGACAACCCCAATGACAAGCAGTTTGAGTTCAGGTAAACAAAACTAAAAACTAGGCTAGCTGGATAAATTAGACCCGGGTCAATTACATATGCTTATCTTTTCCTATTCTCAATTACATGTAAAACATATTTTTACCAATGAAATAGTTCAGAAAGTTCAAAAAAATGAATTGAGCGCACCTCAAATAAACACTTAATCGGTGTCACTGCAGTGAGAATTACATTTTCGGCAAATTCGACACATTCTGCAAGCGACTGGAGAAGATTGCAGACATGGCCTCCATTTTGGAGGACCTCGCATCTCTGCAGCACATGAAAGTGGAGGGGATCGAGAAGATCTTTGTTCGCTATCAGACCATTGTGACCACCACCAAGTCCAAGACCTACAATGTGCTTGACCACCGCAAGTTAGAGGTACTATTCTATTAATTTATTTTACCTATATTTTACCAGGCAGGTCAATTAAGAAAAAAATCGTATTTACAATGATGGCCTGGCAAGAGGCATAAAGCCTCCTGTGGGGTAGGGGGCGGGGATAAAAAATAAAACACAGACGGAAGACAGATGGCAACAGTACAGATACATCACCAGACAGAGAGTGGAAGCATAGCACATCACGACAAGAGACATCGCCGCACTACATGAAGAGAGTCCTATGGCAACAAAAAACACCATGGCACAAACAATGTTAAGGGCAGACAACAGCACGAGGGAAAACGACAAAGTGTCAGACCACAATTCAAGCAGCATAGCACTACTGAATAGACAAACGGACAGATAGAGGCAACAAACAATAGCAGCGCAAGCAGGCAGTCAGAAAACACACACCACAATTAGCCACCTAAGTTATTGTATCCCATAACAGCTACAGTTGTTAGTGAGAATGTCCATGATTGAGTCCTTAATATCAAATGTATGATGAAGTGGTGGTTGTAAAACAGACTATAATGCTAATTGATCAATCTGTCGTACAACTGCCTTAACTCCATGAAATGGTAATATAATGGTTTCTATGAGGGTTTTAAGTTGATCAAAAACGTTGTATTGAGTTTGTCTCTGAATTGTTTGAATGCTACTGATCCTCCTCTTTGCTCAGTTTGATGGTGACTACACAGAGTTCAAGTTCCAGATCCAAGGCCTCTTCCAGTCTCTCCAGTCATTGCTAGTGACCTGGTTTGAGCAGTCACTAACTGTGAGTTCTCACTGATATAAAAGTCTCTCTGACATCTAAGGGTACCAACTCATCTCAAAATGTACAGCATGTTTCTATGATGATTCATCGCCTTTCACTTCACTGAATTCTTTCTCTACCATTAGACTGAGCGAATGCTTGACCTCCTCTCTAAGTTTGAGAATGGCGTCGGTAAGCAGCTGGACCTCACAGACAAATACATGGCAGTACTGCAGCGCTATAGCCGAGACCTGGAGCTTGTCAGGAAGCTCTATCAAAAGCAGAAGGACAACCCTCCCATTCCTCGAAACATGCCTCCTGTGAGTCCATGTAGTCCAACTTTTCTTAAATGTGCTGCACAGAGCAAATTGGTAGTATTTCATGATGAAAGCATGATGAATTATGTTTTTTTCTTCCAATCTACAATTGACATATTCACTGTTTTGCTTATAGTATACTGTACTCAGGCCTCTGTGGTTACTGCAAAATACATTTCACACATTTGCTGGCTGCCCATAGAGCTATGCAGCACTTCCTCAGTTAAATTTGATGTGTGGTGACAGTGGTGTAAATGTCAAAGCGTGTATGAAAGAGGATGTAATGCAGGGCTCTCCACCCTGTTCCTGGAGAGCTACAGTCCTGTAGGTTTTCACTCCATCCCTAATCTAGCACATCTGATTCTAATAATTAGCTGGTTAATGAGATGAATCCGGTTAGATACAACCGGGGTTGGAGTGAAAACCTACAGGAGGGTAGCTCTCCAGGAACAGGGTTGGAGAGCCCTGATCTAATGCATTTATCTCTTTTCAGACATTTAAGTCATACAAACAAATACAGTGTGAAGAACACAGCACATACGTGGTCCTCTGTAGCTCAATTGGTAGAGCATGGCGCTTGTAACGCCAGGGTAGTGGGTTCGATCCCCGGGACCACCCATACGTAAAAATGTATGCGCACATGACTGTAAATCGCTTTGGATTAAAGCGTCTGCTAAATGGCATATTATTATATTATTATACAGAATGTCAAGGGTCTTTTTGGTCTTCATAGGTTTTAAAATGCTTCTCTCTCTGGCAGGTTGCAGGGAAGATTATGTGGTCGCGGCAACTATTCCGAAAGATTGAGTTACCTATGTCTGTCCTGAAAAACAAAATGGACATTCTACAGGTAGTGTTTTCCAATTTCAATAACATTTCCTCAATTGTTTTGTTTAATTTGTAACCCTAAATTAGGTAAATGTGATTCTTTGGGTTGACAATTTTACAACTTTCTGTCTTCTGAATTCATACTTTTGTGTGGGAAACAAATCAAAGGAAATGAAATGTAATGTGACATCAATGAAATGTGACATCTACAGTACCTAATTTGTATGGTCCCCAAAAAATACTATCATTATATTTAGAATGCCCAATACATTGCTTCATTCTGAGTAGTATGCTAGTGTAGATATTGGTACAGAAACTCATGCTTTTCTGTTTGTCTGTCAGACCCCTGAGATGAGGAAGGTGATCAGAAGCTATAACAAGATGGCTGCCGTTCTCCTTGAGTACGAGCTCCTGTACCACAGAGGCTGGAGCCAAGCCGTGGAGATGGGCCGTCACGGCTTGAACGCATCGCTGCTCGTCAGAGACCCAGAAACAAAGGTTCTGCCCATTCCAAAGTGCCACTAATGTTGACATTATATTCAGGAAATTGCCTTTTACTTAGAGGCCACAGCTATAGAACTAAGCAACACCTTGTGTAATTTTTTCATAAATGCTACATTATATATGCGTGTGTTGTGCAAATTTTGTCATTTAGCAGATGCTCTTATCCTGAGTGACTTACAGGAGCAATTACTGTTAAGTGCCTTGCTCAAGGGCACATCGACAGATTTTTCACCTAGTTGGCTTGTGGAATCGAACCCGCAACCTTTCCGTTACTGGCCCAACACTCTTAACCGCTAGGCTACCTTTCGATTTCTCTCTGTTAACTCACCCTTCAATATTGTGATTCTTCCCTGCCCAGGAGATATATGTTAACCTTGACCCCTTGGTCCTGGAGGTGCTGCATGAGGCTAAGTGCATGCATAAGCTTGGCATCGCCGTCCCAACGGTGATCCTGAATATGTGTGCCAAAGAAGTCGAGCTGAAGGCCCATCAAAACAGGTGATATATTATTGATTGAATCAAGTGTTTCAGTAATCAAGTGTTAATAATCAAGTGTTGAACTAAACCAGAACACGCTGTAGCTCCCCAGGACCAGGTTTGGTGACCAGGTGTTGACTATGGGTGTAATGTACGATACATGTCTATTTTCTACAACAGTTGAGGCAAAAATGTCCTTGGTATCATAGAGGATGTTTTAAGAGTGAACTCCCTTTGTCCCAGGCTACAGGAAATGCTGCAGGACTTTGAAGCAGTCTTATCCAGGATTCCTCCCCTTCTCCTCCCCCTGATGCAGCCCTTCATCAGCCGCGTGGAGAGCTCGCTCTCCCAAGGGCTCACCACTCTCTCCTGGACATCACTCAACACCAACAGATGTGAGAGAAACACTCTAGTTTTCTGGTGAAATTGGATGGGGTTCTCCTATTCCAGTCCTGGGGACGGTTGTACAGTATATGTGCAGGCTTTGGTTCCAACCCTGAAGTAATACACCTGATTCAGCTAATCATAACCCATAATGAGGATTATGATTGGGTTAAATATCTGAATCAGGTGTGTTACTGCAGGGCTGGATTGAAAGCATTGAATCAGTGATTGTGTTCATTCAGTAATATTCATAGACTTAACCAAACAGACTGTCCTTTTCTTGTAGTCATAGAGAATGTATATGGAGTACTGCAAGAAGTGGAGCAAGTTGCAAAGGTTGCCATGGATACACTGGAGTGTCGCATCGAGAGGGTCCTACAGGCCATGTCGTCCACTGCCCTGCTGGTGCTGCCCGAGGATATGCCTGTTTCATCCCAAAACTTTCAGAGCCAAGCTGAGGACACTGTGAAGTCTGCTGGGCAGGCACTGAGCATGTAAGTGCTGACTGAGCTCTACAAATCATACAGAAAGGTCAAATACGCCTATGTTAGGTTCCTCCAATATGTGAAATCTTAGTGTCATTACATGGCTTGATATGGACTTGCAACACTTAGTGTGTTGTGAAATCTGTTATGTAATGTTTAAAAAATTGTATAACATTGATTGCGTACCATTCTTCTTTAGTGTGCTGTCCATGTGTACTTCATATTTACTTCATACTAACTGTAAGTCGCTCTGGATAAGAGCGGCTGCTAAATGACTAAAATGTCAAATGTTTAAAAGCTATTTTGAAAAAGCTAAAACTGGAACGCTTTGTTTGAAAGGTTTGCTCAGTTTCACTGTTTATCTTGATTTCACTGCAGCCAAAGTAAGCAAGTGGAAATGTCTATGCACGAGATGATTGAGGAACTGAAAAAGAGGATGACGCCAGCAGAAACAGTCAACCTAGAGGTGGGTTAGTATGACTGACTCGGGGAGCAGTGCAAGTTTTCAGGTCTCGGGACAAAGTTACTTTTCACACAAGTGTGGTTCAAGAAACCACCTCTGTTACATTAGCAATAAACGCACAACTACACCTGTCAACAATGATAGAGCCTTTGTGTAACGCCCCAATCCAGGGGTCTCTCCAGTGTCTACACCCGGATGCTAAACAGAAGACACGTTGCCAGTCGTGTCTAGCCTGTTGCTTTTACAACCTGATGGCTCAGCTGTGCCAGAGGAACACAGAGGCCCTGGTCAAAGGTGAGATTTCTGATTGACCTTTGACCTATGTTAGGTCATTGGGGTTAGGATCAACTTCGTTTTAATCAATCAAACCAAGACATTAATTCAAACGCAACAATTTAATGAAAACAATACACATTGGCAATAATAGTTAGTAGTTTTATGACTGAGTATCAAAACCGCCCTAAACTGACGTATGTTTTCCTATAATCATTTACACTTTCATAGCTACAAGGTCATCCCTTGATTCTCTGAGGCGAAGGCTTCATGTGGCGAGTTCCAAGTACCAGTCGTCCTCGTACCTGAGTCGACCACAGGTCCAGGTTCCTCTCTTCAAGGCCTCTATTCAGCTGGCCATTCCCAACATCGTCCTCAAGCCTAGTCTGGAGGACATCCAGGTACTCCTTCAAAGAAATAGTTCACTCCAAAATCAAAGTTTGTTGGTAAATTGGATAGGAAAGATGATATATATATATAATGTCCTAGTTTAAGTCAGGGAGCAGGGTTCTTTTCATTGTCTATTTTATGTTATGAATATACACATTAGTGTGTTTATTTCTATCTATTCAATATTCAATTCTTTTCCACTGATAAATCACATTGCATGGTGGCATTTTCCTCTGTCTTTCTCCCTTGCTGTCTCACAGAATACTGTCAACAAAGTTGTGAGCATTGTGCTGTCAATGGCTACAGACATCCCACTATGGACATTTTCCCATCTACATCACAAGCAGCTTCAGGTATGCTTGCTATCTGGTCAATGTACCTGCTGATTATTACGTCTGCTGTGTTGCCTTGGACTTTTCTGCTCTAACCCACTGTGAATATTTCTTATTGTTGTATATTTGATGAATTTGTACCTTTCCTCCGTATAGTGTGTTTTATTTATTTTTAGTGTGTTGTCCTGTTCACTGTTGGCCAGGTCATTATTGTAAATGAGAATTGGTTCTCAATTGACTTATCTGGTTAAATAAAGGTGAAATAAATAAATAAAATAAATAAACAAAAGATTCCTGAATGGTATTACTATCATATTTTTTTCTTATAATTATTCCTACCTTAAATATTGTTCAAAAATTGAATGTAAGTAGTGATCCAAATTGGGGTCTTTCCCTGTGTCACTCCCCAGGCAGAGCAGGCTGCAGTGAGGGACGCTGGGGACGACGGCCCCCTGACCAAGCAGCTGGTTCTCAAGCCCCTGGACCGGCAGCTGGCCGAGCACAAGGACGTCACCAAGGCCGTCATCCAGCTGGGTTCCATCGTGTCCTCCCTCAGGACCGAGGCCGGGGACGTGCTGCAGGAGTTCCATCACTTCTCCACCCTGTGGAATCAGGTCTGCTGGGCTGGAAATGTTAGCGATACATGAGAGAATGCTGGTGCCATCATCTTTGAATGATCCATTAGTATTCAAGTTCTACCAGATCCAGGATGTACGAAGCCAAGAGTGAAAGAGAGAGAGAGACAATGTGGATGAATTGATGTACTGTATACAATGATTTGATATGATTTGACCGTCCGGATCGATATAACATGACTCGTATTGTTCTCCCCAGGACCCAGAGGAGGAAGTGAAAACCTTCCTGGAGACCAGTCCATCCCTCCCAGCGTTCAGCACTCAGATTTCCTCCTACTCTGTTAGTGACATTCACTCATTGTTTTACATATTGGATGGTTGTCATTAGATTTGATCTGTTTGATGTGTTACTTGCTTACCTCTGCAGAAACTGGAAGCTCAGATTGAAGACTTGCCAGCATCCTGCACTGTGGGTTCAGTCCTGTTCCACACAGACCACCTCAAGCTCTCCCTGACCCAGGAGTGCCGTGCCTGGAAACGGGCCTTCGGAGCTGCGCTGAACAGCCAGGCCTCAGCCGACATGGCCGACATCTACTCCTTTGTGGACGGCCTGACCAAGAGGCTCCAGAGGCCTATCGAAGACCTGGAGGACGTTAGGGGAGCCATGGCCTCTCTCCGAGAGGTCAGAGAGGCAGAGATCCGGATAGATGCCACCATCGGCCCCGTGGAGGAGTCGTTTGCCCTACTCAACCGCCACGAGTTGATCTTCAGTGACGGGAACGCAGAGAAGGTGGACGGGCTGACGTACGCCTGGAGTAACCTCAATGCACTGGTGGGTGGAAAATTAAACCTGTCATAAACTGTATTTCACATTACATTTTCTCGCCTGACAATATATTGTTCCTAGATTTACTTGTCCTGTGTGTAGTGTGGTTTCTGATGCTCTGCATGGGTGGTCAATCATCTTGTAACCTACTGAGGCAAAATATAAGAAAATGTCTCAGGAATATGATAAAGTTTAAGACTCACATACATCGACTGTAGTAGTTGTTGCAACCAACCAAGACATGTATTCTGTACATGTGGCAGTAGAGGGCAGCAAACCACTGAGTATGTGATGAACATCACTTCCTGCTCTCTCTCAAGTGTGAGCCAAAGATGGTGGATAAATGAAGGCCTTTTACCATTTTAAAAAAATGTCACAGTTCTGGTCTGCTTAAAGGCCCAGTGCATTCAAAAACATGATTTTCCTGTGTTTTATATATATTTCCACACCATGAGGTTGAAATAATACTGTGAAATTGTGAAAATTATGATAATGCGCTTTTAGTGTAAGAGGTGTTTGAAAAGACCGCCTGAAATTTCAGCCTCTTTTGGTGGGATGGAGTTTTGGCCTGCCTGGTGACATCACCAGGCAGTAAATTAGTTAGACTAAAAAGAAAGAGTTCCAAACCTCTCTTCCAATAACAGCTAGTTTTCAGTTTCCCCCTCCCCACTCAGACCACTCCCAGGCAGTCCTAGCAAAATTCTTGCTTGAGAAATGTCTCTTTGCTAAGAAGTTATTTTTGTTTCTTTTTGACAATTTTAATTGAAAACAATCACAGTAAGGTATTTAATTGTTACCCAGAAATTATTTGATATTGAGATAAAAATGGCTGCATTGGACCTTTAAGGGGTAGCTCTCCTATAGGCACCAATGCATTAGCAGCTTGGTCTGGTCTGCTTAGTTCATTAACTGTATATGAACCAGAAAAAAAGGAGCGATTTAGATGTCTCGCTTCCTCTTCCATCTCTGTTTGAGCTGTGCTCAGTATCTGAAACCAAAACAATGTCCATCAAAAGGTGATGGAAACCCAAACTACCCTGGTGAAGATTCAACCTGCCATGAAGGCAGACCTACTGTCAAGGGTGGAGACCTTCCAGAACTCTGTCCACACCTACTACTCAGATTATGACAAAAGGTAGAATACAGTTATCTTTTCCATTCAGACATTTTGGTCAATAGTTGATAGATTCCTATAATCCATATGCTTTATGTTCATCAAGTGGCCCTGGAGTTGAGGGGTTGACTCCAGATGAAGCCAGCGACAGACTGCAGAGCTTCCAGGCCCAGTTCAATGAGCTGTGGAGAAAATATGTTACCTACTCTGGAGGGGAGGAGCTATTCGGCCTCTCAGTTAACGGTGACTATTCTCACGTTCATATCCACATTGAAATACACTGTTTCCTGGACCCATATTATACATACATATCCTTAGACTTAAAAACACTTTCAATGGAGATTTGTCATTGAGAATAATTGGAATTCAGGATTAGGCTAATATGGCTAATATCTGTCATTAACAGAATATCCGGATCTTCAGAGAATTAAAAGAGAGCTGGGTCTTTTGTTGAAACTTTACACTCTCTACAACTCTGTCACTGAAAGCGTCACTGGTTACTACGATATCCAATGGGCTGACCTAAACGTAGACAAGATCAACAATGAACTGCAGGATTTCCAGAACAGGTAGAATCCCATGGACTGTGATATACATATGTCAATATGCTGTATTGGCAAATAATTTAAACGATAGATAACAGTTTAAATTTAGTTGCTGACTAATCTATTTTTCTACTTTCCATAAGAATCCGGAAACTTCCCAAGGCGCTGAAGGAGTGGCAAGCCTTTAGTGACCTGAAGAAGACGATCGATGACTTCAACGAGACGTGCCCCCTACTTTACATGATGGCTAACAAGGTGAAACATTACCTTTCATTTGATCATCTAAAACTCACCATTTGCATATTGTTTTTCCTGACGCTTGTCCCTTTTCTCCCCTCTCCCTTTCAGGCGATGATGTCCAGGCATTGGAGCCGCCTCAGTGACCTCACAGGTCACATCTTTGAGGTGGAGTCGGAGAGCTTTGCCCTCAGAAACATCATGGAGGCACCACTGCTCAAATACAAAGAGGATGTTGAGGTACCATGTCACCAAATCACCTCACCAAAATGGGCAAACAATATACTTTTAAAATAGAATTAGGCGTGCTGTATTTATCTGGACAGGATGTGTGCATCAGCGCCGTGAAGGAGAGGGACATTGAGGCCAAACTGAAAGACGTGGTGGCCGAGTGGAGCAGCCACACGCTCACCTTTGCCCCCTTCAGGAACCGGGGGGAACTGCTACTGAAGGGTACTGACACTGCAGAGAAGGTGGCCCTCATGGAGGACAGTCTTATGGTGCTGGCCTCACTCATGGGCAACCGGTAGGTACCACCACATCCTCATGTCTGATTTGATCGACTGGGTTTCAAACCAAGGTACCACAATAGTAGTAATTAGGCATTAATTCAGCATTAAATTCAACGTTCTCTTCTAGATGACCATACAGATAGTTGTCGATAGTTGTCGATGGTGGCAGGTAGCCTAGCTGTAGAGTGGTAGGTAGCGTAGCGGTTTGAGAATTGGGCCAGAAACCGAAAGGTCGCTATTTCGAATCCCTGACCTGACAAGGTGAAAAATCTGTCTGTGCCCTTGAGCAAGGCATTTAACCCTAATTGCTCCAAGGTCGCCGTTGATAATGGCAGACCCTGGCCATGCCCCCACTCTCCAAGGGTGTCTCAGGGAGAGTGGGATATGCAAAAAAACACATTTCCAATTCACACATGTATTAATACACACTGTACATGTGTGGAATAGGACAAATATAAGCACCCACATTATTATTATCAATCTACTTTCCCAGGTATAATGCCCCATTCAAGCCTTCCATCCAGCAGTGGGTGCTGAAGCTGTCTAATACCACTGAGGTCATAGAGAAATGGCTGACGGTTCAGAATCTGTGGATCTACCTGGAGGCCGTATTTGTCGGAGGGGATATCGCTAAGCAGCTGCCTCAGGTTTGACCAAACTGAACCATGCTCTGTTTACCTGTTGATTCACTATTGTTTAACTTGAATGTGGATTCAATTTCAATTTAGTGTGGATTCCAGGCTACTCAAGTAAGTATATGGCCACTAAATTTGTCCCATATAGGAAGCCAAGAGGTTCCAGAACATCGACAAGTCCTGGCAGAAGATCATGCAGCGTGCCCACGAGGTGACAGGTGTGGTGCAGTGCTGTGTGGGGGACGAGACCCTCAGCCAGCTGTTGCCCCATCTTCTGGAGCAGCTGGAGGTGTGTCAGAAGTCTCTGAGCGGCTACCTGGAGAAGAAGAGGCTGGTGTTCCCTCGGTTCTTCTTTGTCTCCGACCCTGCTCTACTGGAGGTCCTGGGACAGGCCTCGGACTCCCACACCATACAGGTACTGGACTGATGTTAGGGCAACATATTTTTTTCTACTGTTTCTCCATGTCTGGTATGGCCATAGTTACCATAGATGCACTACCATGCCAAAAGTATGTGGACCTCTGCTTGTTGAACATCTCATTCCAAAATCATGGGCATTAATATGGACTTGGTCCCCCCTTTGCTGATGTAACAGCCTCCACTCTTCTGGGAAGGCTTTCCACTAGATGATGGAACATTGCTGTGGGGACTTGCTTCCATCCAGCCACAATAGCATTAGTGAGGTCGGGCACTAATGTTGGGCGATTAGGTCTGGCTCGCAGTCGGCGTTCCAATTCGTCCCAATGGTGTTCGATGGGGTTGAGGTCAGGGCTCTGTGCTGGCAAGTCAAGTTTTTCCACACCGATCTCCCAAAAAAAAATTCTGTATGGACCTCACTCTGTGCATTGTCATGCTGAAACAGGAAAGGGCCTTCCCCAAACTGTTGCCACTAAGTTGGAAGCACAGAATCGTCTAGAATGTAATTGTATGCTGTAGCATTACGATTTCCCTTCACTGGAACTAAGGGACCTAGCCCGAACCATGAAAAACAGCCCCAGACCATTATTCCTCCTCCAACACACTTTAAAGTTGGCACTATGCATTGGGGCAGGTAGCGTTCTCCTGGCATCTGCCAAACCCAGATTCGGCCGTCAGACTGCCAGATGGTGAACCGTGATTCATCACTCCAAAGAACGCGTTTCCACTGCTCCAGAGTCCAATGGCGGCGAGCTTTACACTACTCCAGCCAACGCTTGGCATTGCGCGTGTGTGAACGTCACTGAGCTCTTCAGTACAGGCCATTCTTCTGCCAATGTTTGTCTATGGAGATTGTATGGTTGTGTGCTCGATTTTATACAACTGTCAGCAACGGGTGTAGCTGAAATAGCCGAATCCACTAATTTGAAGGTGTGTCCACATACTTTTGGCCATGTGGTGTATATGTATTAATTGCTTGGTGTTTTAACTATTGTCTCAATGTGTAACTGTGCATTCTGCATGATGTCTTTTTGACTGCAATCAAACTCAATGAAATGTGAAGTTCTATAATTTGTCGTTATCACAAATGATACCTCTGTAACATGGTATCTTGTCTTCTCCTTTGGGTACAGGCTCATCTGCTGAGTCTTTTCGACAATGTGAACTGTGTGGTTTTCCATGAGAAGAACTATGACCAGATCCTAAGCTTCCAGTCCCAGGAGGGAGAGACAGTAGATTTATCCGAACCTGTTTTGGCTCAGGTACACTTAACCTACTGTACACACTGCTGAGTTGAAGGCAATGCTCCTCAATGCTGGACTCACATTTAGCATTGGTGTTCGAATACGTTTCAATACAAAATGAAAGTTTCTTATACCCATAATAAAAAACCATTCTGCTTTGATTCCTGATCATCCATCTGTTTCATATGTTTACTGTTAGACTTATCATGAGGCCCAGATCCAGTACTAAACATTGTCCTCTGATGGTGTCCGATAGGGAAATGTGGAAGCCTGGCTGGGGCTCTTGCTGGACAGAGTGAGGAAGACCATCCATTGCATTATCCGGCAGGCTCACATGTCCATCAGTGACGCAGGACTAAAGCTGATGGAGTTCCAGTCTGTGTTCCCAGCCCAGGTGGGTCTGCTGGGCATCCAGATGATCTGGACCAGGGATGCAGAGGAAGCCCTGAGGCTCAGCAAGGGAGACAAAAAGGTAACAATCTGTATACTGTATACTATATACTGTAGAATGTGGTTATACTGTACCTGAAAAGGGAATATTCACCTCTAGACAAGAAGTAGCTTTATTTATAAAATGTGATTGTGTAGATACATTGTTGAATAATCTCTTTTGTGTCTTCTTCTTACTTCTTGACTTGATGGCACAGATCATGCAAACTACCAATCAGAAATTCGGGGATATCCTGAATGAGCTGATTGATATGACCACTCGAGACTTGAGCAGGAACGAACGCACCAAGTACGAGACTCTGATCACCATCCATGTGCATCAGAAAGACATATTCGACGACCTGGTAAGCATTCCTTTTTTCAGTTTTTCAAAGAACCCTACACATTTTTGAGAGGACCTTTCCCCAACCACATACAAGCTGATTAATTAATTATCTTAGAAGCCTTATAGTATTTTTTGCAAAAGCCCCGCAATAGTAAGATATGGAATACCATCTCTTTTTTTTTTTTTTACTGAATACCAAATTCACTGCAACATTTATACAACCTCTTCTTCAGTAAGAAAGGAGTCAAATGTTTCATTAACAACCTCTAGAATATCCATTGGGCATTTCATAAGGTATCTTATAAGGCTTTGCATGAGTCTCCATCAGGTTAGACTATATAAAACTAATCCATGACTAAATCCACATCCCAATATCACTCAGGTGCGAATGAACATCCGATCGACATCAGACTTTGAGTGGCAGAAGCAATCCCGCTTCTACTTCATCGAGGACAAGGACAGATGTATAATCCAGATCACTGACGTGGAGTTTGGCTACTGCAACGAGTATCTGGGCTGTACCGACAGACTGGTCATCACCCCTCTCACTGACAGGTCATTAACAATTACACTAATGTTGTTTAATCTACTCTGAAACTCCATCTTGTATTATAGTGTTATTGTTTTACTGGGACATATTATGGGCAAATTTCCCAAGTACAGATTAAGTTTAGTGCTGGACAAAAAAGCATATTCCACGATGATTCAGGATAAATCTCTGGGAAACCAGCTCTATGATATCTACTGTAATCCATACCGGTGCAGACAATACGGCTGAAAAGATCTTATCCAATTGCAACTATGAGTTTTGTGCAACAACTAAGCTATCATCAGCACAATGATGACTGACATGTTAGGTCTCCTCTTCTCTAGGTGTTACATCACCCTGTCCCAAGCTCTGGGTATGAGTATGGGAGGGGCCCCGGCAGGGCCGGCTGGTACAGGTAAGACCGAGACCACCAAAGACATGGGCCGTTGCCTGGGGAAGTATGTTGTCGTCTTCAACTGCTCCGACCAGATGGACTACAGAGGGCTAGGACGAATCTATAAAGGTAATGAAGCTTGTCCATAGGGAGATAACATGGAAAAGTCTCTGCCTTGACAATTAATCAAAGCTAAATATGATCTGTCTATACTCATAAAACATTGTTATGAATGTTGCTCTGACACACATAAAGGGGTTATGAGGGTTTTACATAATGTGTCACAAAGACATATGTACACTACGGGCCCTTTTAAATGAAACATTTTCCAAAAATAACCACCATACCATAAGGAATTATGCAGAGTACATAAAAGGTATAAACGGAGAGTAAACGTTGTCTGCAGGTTTGGCTCAGTCAGGAGCATGGGGCTGCTTCGATGAGTTCAACCGCATCGAGCTCCCTGTCCTGTCAGTAGCAGCCCAGCAGATATATATAGTGTTGCAATCCAAAAAGAACAAGAAGACACAGTTTATCTTCACGGACGGGGACTTGGTGGAAATGGACAGAGAGTTTGGCATCTTCCTAACCATGGTGAGAAAATAGCACATTTCACATTTTCACTAACATTGTGCCACGTGCATGCAAGGTTCAAATACCAACTGTGAAAGGAAGATTTACTAGATATTATTTAGTATGGTTTACATTTTAAGACAGCCTCAAACCTCATGCCTCACACCTCATCCCTCAAACCTCATCCCTCAACCCTCATCCCTCAAACCTCATCCCTTCTTGAGTAAATTGTCAATGTTATGGCTCCTATTATCCCTGTTCTACTGTTCTTCTCAAACGGTAGAACCCTGGATATGCTGGCCGCCAGGAGCTTCCAGAGAACCTGAAGATCCAGTTCCGTACGGTGGCCATGATGGTTCCAGACAGAGCCATCATCATGAGGGTGAAGTTAGCCAGCGCCGGTTTCCGTGACAACCAAGTCCTCAGCCGCAAGTTCTACACCCTGTACAAGCTGTGTGAAGAGCAGCTCTCCAAGCAGGTAACATCAAGGTCAAAAGGTCACAGTAGCATCATACACAGTACACACTTGTAATCATTCTCATCAAGAATTTGGTCACCAGTCAAATTGATTATAAATGTCTCCTCTCACATTCTCTTCAAGGTCCACTATGACTTTGGGCTAAGGAACATATTGTCAGTGTTGAGGACACTGGGTTCAGTGAAGAGGTCCAACCCCACTGAGCCAGAGAAAACGGTAGTGATGCGGGTGCTGCGCGACATGAACCTCTCCAAACTGGTAAAGTCCATTTTTCTTCTACCCTACAATCCAAGTGGTACTTAACTTTTATTCTTCACCTGAAACTAAAAGTATCTGCATTTGCTTTTATGAATTCACATTAAATTATTTTTATGGTAAAACAAATAAACAAAATCGCTATGTCTCTGACCAGGTGGATGAGGATGAGCCTCTGTTCATGAGCCTGATCAACGACCTGTTCCCTGGGATCATTCTGGACAAGGCAGGCTACCCCGACCTGGAGGCTGCCATCCACACCCAGACCCATCAGGCTGGCCTCATCCCTCACCAGCCATGGGTCCTCAAACTGGTGCAGCTCTACGAGACCCAGCGGGTTCGCCACGGTCAGTCAACGTGCACTGGAACCTTCTGTTTTAAAGCTGTAATGGAGAAGGTTTGGTGTTCGCCACGGTCAGTCAACGTGCACTGGAACCTTCTGTTTTAAAGCTGTAATGGAGATGGTTTGGTGTTCACCACGGTCAGTCAACATGCACTGGAACCTTCTGTTTTAAAGCTGTAATGGAGATGGTTTGGTGTTCACCACGGTCAGTCAACGTGCACTGGAACCTTCTGTTTTAAAGCTGTAATGGAGATGGTTTGGTGTTCACCACGGTCAGTCAACATGCACTGGAACCTTCTGTTTTAAAGCTGTAATGGAGATGGTTTGGTGTTCACCACGGTCAGTCAACGTGCACTGGAACCTTCTGTTTTAAAGCTGTAATGGAGATGGTTTGGTGTTCACCACGGTCAGTCAACGTGCACTGGAACCTTCTGTTTTAAAGCTGTAATGGAGAAGGTTTGGTGTTCGCCACGGTCAGTCAACGTGCACTGGAACCTTCTGTTTTAAAGCTGTAATGGAGATGGTTTGGTGTTCACCACGGTCAGTCAACGTGAATTGGAACCTTCTGTTTTAAAGCTGTAATGGAGAAGGTTTGGTGTTCACCACGGTCAGTCAACGTGCACTGGAACCTTCTGTTTTAAAGCTGTAATGGCGATGGTTTGGTGTTCACCACGGTCAGTCAACGTGCACTGGAACCTTCTGTTTTAAAGCTGTAATGGAGATGGTTTGGTGTTCACCACGGTCAGTCAACGTGAATTGGAACCTTCTGTTTTAAAGCTGTAATGGAGAAGGTTTGGTGTTCGCCACGGTCAGTCAACGTGCACTGGAACCTTCTGTTTTAAAGCTGTAATGGCGATGGTTTGGTGTTCACCACGGTCAGTGATCCTTCACTACAGGGTTCGGCAACTCCGGTCCTGGAGGGCCAAAAACATTCTACTTTTTTCTTCTTCTACCAGGTAGTTAATTGCACTCACCTGGTGTCCCGGGTCTAAATCAGTCTCTGATTAGGAGGAAATAATAAAAGCCAGGCATTTTATGGTCCTCCCGGACTGGAGCTGGCTATCCCTACAATACCACAGCCCTCTATTGTAAAGCATGCATCAGACAAGTGCATGTCATAACACGTGCCATAAGCTGTTATAGCAGGTGGTGCAAACTAGTGTGAACCGTTTGCTCTACACACTGATATTCCTCTGCAGGCCACAGCCTCTTCTCTTTCTCTCATTCTGTGTTGATCTCAATCTCTCGCCTGTAGGTATGATGACGCTAGGCCCCAGCGGAGCTGGGAAGACCACGTGCATCCACACACTGATGAGGGCCATGTCGGACTGTGGCACCCCTCACCGAGAGATGAGGATGAACCCCAAGGCCATTACTGCATCCCAGATGTTTGGTACCCTGGATGTGGCCACCAACGACTGGACTGATGGGGTCTTCTCAACCCTGTGGAGGAAAACGCTCAAAGCCAAGAAGGTCAGCAAGGTCAATAGAGTTGGGATGGAAGGGTAGTGCCTTCGGTAGGCTGGACTAGTTACAGTAAGCTCCAAAAGTATTGGGACAGTGACACATTGTTTGCTGTTTTGGCTCTGTACTCCAGCACTTTGGGTTTGAAATGATACAATGACTATGAGGGTAAAGTGCAGACGGTCAGCTTTAATTTTAGGGTATTTTCATCCACATCGGGTGAACCGTTTAGAAATTAAAGCACTTTTTGTTCATAGTCCTCCCATTTTAGGGGACCAAAAGTATTGGGACAAATTTACTTCTGTGTATTAAAGTAGTCAAAAGTTATGTATTTGGTCCCATATTTATAGCACGCAATGAGTACATCAAGCTTGTGACTCTACAAATATTTTGGATACATTTGCTGTTTGTTTTGTTTGGCTTTCAGATTATTTTGTGCCCAATAGAAATGAATGGTACATAATGTATTGTCTCATTTTGGAGTCACTTTTATTGTAAATAAGAATAGAATATGTTTCTAAACAGTTCTACATTAATGTGGATGCTACCATGATTATAGATAATCCTGAATGAACTGTGAATAATGATGAGTGATGCACAAATGTGTCACTGTCCCAATACTTTTGGTGCTCACTGTAGTTAGGTGTACTGGGAAGTTAAAGGGGAAGTGCAGTCAAAAACGTGATTTTCCTGTGTTTTATATATATATATGTCCACACTATGAGCTTGGAATAATACAGTGAAAATTATGATAATGCCCTTTTAGTGTAAGAGCTGTTTGAAAAGACTGCCTGAAATTTCAGCTTGTTTGCATGGGTGGGGTTTTTGGACCGCCTGGTGATGTCACCAATAAGTTAATAGACCAATAACAAAGAGAGTTTGCCCTCCTCTGCCAATAACAGCTAGTTTTCAGGTTACATATCCCTCCCATTAGGCTCCTCCAATTAGGCCCCTCACAATGAGTTATGAGTTATGACTATCTAAGCCAGACAGTTGTCATACTAGTTCTCATTTTTATTCTATTGAACTGTTTCTCTTCCCAAGGGGGAGCACATCTGGATCGTACTGGACGGCCCTGTGGACGCCATCTGGATTGAAAACCTCAACTCGGTCCTGGACGACAACAAGACCCTGACCCTGGCTAACGGCGACCGCATCCCTATGGCGCCTAACTGTAAGGTGGTGTTTGAGCCCCACAACATCGACAACGCCTCCCCGGCCACAGTGTCCCGCAACGGCATGGTATTCATGAGTTCCTCTGTGCTGGACTGGAAGCCTATCCTTCAGGCCTGGCTCCACAGGGTGCCATCACAGCAGGCAGAGGTGCTCCTGGGCTGCTTCCATAGTGTTTTCCAGGTCTGTCTGAATATCATACTGTACCTCCATTCTCTTTCCCTACTGTAGGATCAAACACAGAAAGAGGCACAAACACATGCAGTATGGAGGCATACACATACACACACACACACACTTTGCTGATCTTTGTTCCCATGAGAATAATCCTCTGTGGTCTTCCTGAATCTGTGGAGTCTCTACCTTATGCCCTGTACAGGATTTGATCAACTTTGTCTTCACTGCTGTGTCTCCCAAAATGCCCACCCTGGAGTGTATGTACATCAAGCAGACCATTGACCTTCTGCAGGTAAGCAGAATAGCCACACTGAATTCCTGTAAAATTCAAATGTTTTACCTATTTATTCTTAGAAATAAACTGCTCAGAAAAATAAAGGGAACACTTAAACAACACAATGTAACTCCAAGTCAATCACACTTCTGTGAAATCGAACTGTCCACTTAGGAAGCAACACTGATTGACAATAAATGTCACATGCTGTTGTGCAAATGGAATAGACAACAGGTGGAAATTATAGGCAATTAGCAAGACACCCCCAATAAAGGACTGGTTTTGCAGGTGGTGACCACAGACCACTTCTCAGTTCCCATGCTTCCTGGCTGATGTTTTGGTCACTTTTGAATGCTGCCGGTGCTTTCACTCTAGTGGTAGCATGAGACGGAGTCTACAACCCACACAAGTGGCTCAGGTAGTGCAGCTCATCCAGGATGGCACATCAATGCGAGCTGTGGCAAGAAGGTTTGCTGTGTCTGTCAGCGTAGTGTCCAGAGCATGGAGGCGCTACCAGGAGACAGGCCAGTACATCAGGAGACGTGGAGGAGGCCGTAGGAGGGCAACAACCCAGCAGCAGGACTGCTACCTCCGCCTTTGTGCAAGGAGGAGCAGGAGGAGCACTGCCAGAGCCCTGCAAAATGACCTCCAGCAGGCCACAAATGTGCATGTGTCTGCTCAAACGGTCAGAAACAGACTCCATGAGGGTGGTATGAGGGCCCGACGTCCACAGGTGGGGGTTGTGCTTACAGCCCAACACCGTGCAGGACGTTTGGCATTTGCCACTGGTGCCCTGTGCTCTTCACAGATGAAAGCAGGTTCACACTGAGCACGTGACAGACGTGACAGAGTCTGGAGACGCCGTGGAGAACGTTCTGCTGCCTGCAACATCCTCCAGCATGACCAGTTTTTCTTTGGGGGGCCGCACAGCCCTCCATGTGCTCGCCAGAGTTAGCCTGACTGCCATTAGGTACCGAGATGAGCTCCTCAGACCCCTTGTGAGACCATATGCTGGTGCGGTTGGCCCTGGGTTCCTCCTAATGCAAGACAATGCTAGACCTCATGTGACTGGAGTGTGTCAGCAGTTCCTGCAAGAGGAAGGCATTGATGCTATGGACTGGCCCGCCCGTTCCCCAGACCTGAATCCAATTGAGCACATCTGGGACATCATGTCTCGCTCCGAATGCTTTAGTCCAGGTCTGGGAGGAGATCCCTCAGGAGACCATCCGCCACCTCATCAGGAGCATGCCCAGGCGTTGTAGGGAGGTCATACAGGCACGTGGAGGCCACACACACTACTGAGCCTCATTTTGACTTGTTTTAAGGACATTACATCAAAGTTGGATCAGCCTGTAGTGTGGTTTTCCACTTTAATTTTGAGGGTGACTCCAAATCCAGACCTCCATGGGTTGATAAATTTGATTTCCATTGATAATTTTTGTGTGATTTTGTTGTCAGCACATTCAACTATGTAAAGAAAAAAGTATTTAATAAGATTATTTCATTCATTCAGATCTAGGATGTGTTATATTAGTGTTTCCTTTATTTTTTTGAGCAGTGTATATGCAATTTTAATTAAACTGAACTAGTCATAATACCTCCCACATTCTATTATGACAATAACATTGAATTCAATAGACATGTCCACCCCAATGGCTGAAATGTTGAACATATCAAACGTACTTCAAAGGCAAAGCTCAATGTGGAACCTTTTTCCAGGGTCTACTTCCTGCGGTGGAGGAGAAGCAGGCTCAGGGGGACTTATCACGGCTCTTTGTGTTTGCTGTCATGTGGTCAGTGGGGGCTCTGCTGGAGCTGGAGGACAGATCCAAAATGGAGGCCTTCTTACAGGCCCACCCTGCCACTCTGGACCTGCCCCAGACCCAAGGAGACCAGACCATCTTTGAGTTCATGGTCAATGAACGTGGCCAGTGGGAGCACTGGTCCAAGAAGGTATGGTTTGTGCTGTTGCTGTTAATTGATCAAGCAATCACTCCACTAATCCATACTCTCTCTCTCTGCATGATGACGTCACCTCTAGGTGCCAGAGTACAAGTATCCCACAGACTCTGTCCCGGACTACTCATCTATCCTGGTGCCCAACGTGGACAATGTGAGGACAGACTTCCTGATGCAGACCATCATGAAACAGGGCAAAGCTGTGCTGCTCATCGGGGAACAGGGGACTGCCAAGACCGTCATGATCAAGGTCTGAGATATAGATTTGTGAATGTAGATGTGGGTTTTATCTATGACCATAATACCTCTTTATAGGATCTCAATCCTAGTTGTTCCATTGCAGGGCTATACCAGTAAGTTTGATCCTGAAACTCACCTGAGCAAGAGCTTGAACTTCTCCTCGGCCACCCTGCCCAGTATGTTCCAGAGGACCATAGAGAGCTACATTGACAAGAGGATGGGCTCCACGTATGGGCCGCCAGCAGGCAAGAAGATGACTGTGTTTGTGGATGACATCAACATGCCTGTTATCAACGAGTGGGGTGACCAGGTTAGTGCCATTTTGTAACATGAATCCAGATGTTCATTTTGATCTTAGCTAACAACATGAACCTGCCTTTATTTACACTTTACCTAAATATTTTATTATTTATCTTAATAAAGTATAATCTCATCTCCCTATCTCTTGCACACAGATAACCAATGAGATTGTGCGTCCATCCAACAGATAACCAATAAGATTGTGCGTCCATCCAACAGATAACCAATGAGATAGTGCGTCAGCTGATGGAGCAGGGTGGTTTCTACAGCCTGGAGAGACCAGGGGAGTTCACCAGCGTGGTGGATGTTCAGCTGGTGGCGGCCATGATCCACCCCGGGGGCGGGCGCAATGACGTGCCCCAGCGCCTCAAGAGGCAGTTCAGCACCTTCAACTGCACTCTGCCCTCCAACTCCTCCATCGACAAGATCTTCCGCACCGTGGCGCAGGGCTACTTCTGCCCCGAGAGGGGCTTCCCTGAGGAGGTGTGCACCCTGGCCAGCACCCTGGTGCCCACCACTAGGAGGGTGTGGCAAGCTGTCAAAGCCAAGGTACAGTACTGTGACATACCCAATACAGCCAGAGGAGGATGGAGGGAGTCTGGTTCCTCTTGAGATTTATTTCCTGTAGAGTTTTTCCTTGCCACTGTGCTTCTACTTGTGCTTTGGGGTTGTAGGCCGCCGGGTTGAAAAAAAAAGAAGGGAAAAAAAGAATCCATCCATTTATGTGTCATCCCCAGATGCTGCCCTCCCCAGCCAAGTTCCACTACATCTTTAACCTGCGGGACCTCAGTCGTATCTGGCAGGGTATTCTCACGGTGAGGACCGAGGTGTGCCAGGGGCCAGAGGTGCTGGCATCACTCTTCCATCATGAGTGTACCCGGGTCATTGCTGACCGCTTCATCGACCACAAGGACAGACAGAGCTTCGAGAGCATGCTGGAGAAGGTGGGTGTGGAGTGTGAATTCTGTTCATATATCCTCTGTTATGCAGTTTGAATTGTTGTCCTGTTCTCAACAGGTGTTACTTTTTAAAAGATGGACACGTAGTTATGCATTTGAATATCACATTTTATAATTATATATTTTCTTAAGTTGGCTTAGTTTTGTTATAGGACACAAGTGTTTTCATTTCATATTTACCTTGAATAACACTAAATCTTTCGCACTACATTTCTGAAAACATTTGTATATTTAAACATCAAGCTTACTCGCATAGTTAAACACATTATCAAACTGGTAAGTTACCAACCACAGAGAGCTGTCTCCTTTAGGTTACAGTGGAGGAGCATGGAGAAGCCATGATAGAGCACCCCCAGTGGGAGGCCTACTTTGTGGACTTCCTAAAGGACGTCCCCGAGACCTCAGGGGAGGAGCCGGAAGACATGGAGCTGGAGGCCCCTAAGGTCTATGAGCCCATCCCATCCTTCCAGGCCCTGTCGGAGCGCCTCACCACGTTCCAACTGCAGTACAACGAGGCAGTCAGAGGCAGTGCCATGGACCTGGTCTTCTTCAAGGTAAAAGCGAACTACAGTATTACCCCTTTCACCCTGCCGAGCCAAGCAATACCTCAGTGACCTGGTTACACTGTACAGTACGGTTCTGGTTGGCTTGACAGTGTAAAAAGGATAACAGTGAATTTAGCATTATATTCTAAAGTATCCCATATGATGGGATTTACTAGTTGGCATACTCTCCTATCTTCCGGTAGCTTCACCCATTGTCATTATTAGAGGGCGGCAGGTAGCTTAGTGGTTAAGAGCGTTGTGCCAGTAACCGAAAGGTCGCTGGTTCTAATCCCGAGCCGACTAGGTGAAAAATCTGTCGATGTGCCCTTGAGCAAGGCACTTAACCCTAATTGCTCCTGTAAGTCGCTCTGGATAAGAGCGTCTGCTAAATGACCAATTATTATTATTTATAATTATATTATTGACTGACACGTTAGTACACAGAAATACACTACCATGTTGTCACTCAACAACATATAGTAATATCCTGCAGTAGCTCTGTATTCCTATTGGCTGACGCTCCTTCTCTTTGTCGCCGGGCAGGATGCCATGATCCACCTGATGAAGATCAGTCGTATCGTCCGCACCCCTCAGGGGAATGCCCTCCTGGTGGGGGTGGGGGGCTCAGGGAAGCAGAGCCTCACCCGCCTGGCTTCCTTCATCGCTGGATACCAGAGCTTTCAAATCATCCTGACCAGGTTGGCCTTCTAGATACTAGCCTAATCATCATCATAAAGACACCCAAACCCTAATCATCATCATCATCATCATCATAAAGACATCCTAACCAGTGGTTCCCAACCCTGGTCCGGGTCCTGTTGATCTGTATTCAGTTACAGACAGATTGGGTTAATACTCACATAATTAATCACAGGTAAATTAATTGATAATCACAGATCTAAATAGATCAGTGGAGCATGCGGTAAACCGTGCACCTTTTTGATAGGCTAATTAAAGTACCATAGTAGATTTTAGAAGATGAAATAGTGGATTACCATTTGGTGTAGCTCAATTGGTAGAGCATGGCGCTTGCAACACCAGGGTTGTGGGTTCGATTCCCACGGGGGGCCAGTATGAAAAAAGAAATGTATGCACTCACTAACTGTAATTCGCTCTGGATAAGAGTGTCTGCTAAATGACTAAAATTTAAAATGTAATTGAATCTTGTTAACTGGAGTTGGTGTGAAGAAAATCCTGTTTATCTTGTCTCATTCATTCGACAGGACGTACAACACCAGCAACCTCATGGAGGACCTGAAGTCTTTGTACCGCATCGCCGGACAGCAGGGCAAAGGAGTCACCTTCATCTTCACCGACAACGACATCAAGGAGGAGTCTTTCCTGGAGTACATGAACAACGTGCTGGCCTCGGGCGAGGTCTCCAACCTGTTCGCCCGTGACGAAGTCGATGAAATCACCCAGGACCTCATCCCAGCCATGAAACGCGAGCACCCTCGCCGCCCACCCACTGCTGAAAACCTCTACGACTACTTCCTGTCGCGAGTGAGGAGCAACCTGCACGTGGTGTTGTGCTTCTCGCCGGTGGGGGAGAAGTTCCGAACAAGAGCCCTCAAGTTCCCAGGTCTGATATCGGGCTGTACTATTGACTGGTTCCAGCGTTGGCCACGGGACGCACTAGTGGCAGTCGCACATCACTTCCTGTCCCAGTATACGTTCCAATGCTCTGAAGACGTTAAGCAGAGTGTAGTCCACACCATGGGGACCTTTCAGGACCTGGTGGCCGAGAAGTGCACAGAGTACTTTGAGCGGTTCCGCCGCCAGACCTACGTCACGCCCAAGTCCTACCTGTCCTTCATTGACGGCTATAAGATCATCTACTCAGAGAAGATCGCTCATGTGGGCATGCTTGCTGAGCGCATGAAAACAGGTAAGGTAAAACTATTCAAAAACAAATATATGTGTGATGTTTTATTGTCACATACACCGGCTAGGTGCAGTGAAATGTGTTGTTTTACAGGGACAGCCATAGTACTACGTTGCCATTGGAGCAAAGCCGAAGACATTGTAGCAACTGCATTGTTGCACTTTTTGCATTGACAGAGAGTATTCATTTCTTATAAGTGAACGGCTATAACGTCTTGTTTATCACCATTTAAAGTTATTTTTCATCACCTGACACAATCTCACTCTCCCCAGGCCTGGCCAAGCTGATGGAGGCAGAGCAGTCTGTGAGTCAGCTGTCCAAGGAGCTGGTTGTTAAGGAACAGGAGCTGGAGGTGGCCTCCAAGAAGGCTGACGGGGTCCTGCAGGAGGTAACAGTCAAGGCCCAGGCGGCCGAGAAGGTCAAGATGCAGGTTCAGAAAGTGAAGGACAAGGCTCAGGTCATCGTGGACGAGATTGAAGCTGATAAAAAAGTGGCTGAGAGGAAGCTAGAGGCGGCCAAGCCTGCGCTAGCAGCCGCAGAGGCCGCGTTGCAGGTGAGAATGGGATTTGGTTGACTGTTGAGTTAGAATTTTCTGTACATCATATCAGTACAGTAATGATCCCGCACCATTAGTGGATGAATGATCCCGCACCATTAGTACAGTAGTGATCCCGCACCATTAGTACAGTAATGATCCTGCACCATTAGTACAGTAATGATCCCGCACCATTAGTACAGTAGTGATCCCGCACCATTAGTACAGTAGTGATCCCGCACCATTAGTACAGTAGTGATCCCGCACCATTAGTACAGTAGTGATCCCGCACCATTAGTACAGTAGTGATCCCACACCATTAGTACAGTAGTGATCCCGCACCATTAGTACAGTAATGATCCCGCACCATTAGTACAGTAGTGATCCCACACCATTAGTACAGTAGTGATCCCGCACCATTAGTACAGTAGTGATCCCGCACCATTAGTACAGTAGTGATCCTGCACCATTAGTACAGTAATGATCATGCACCATTAGTACAGTAGTGATCCCGCACCATTAGTACAGTAATGATCCCGCACCATTATGGGGCCACCAACCCCAAGCTAACAGAGTGTCAAATAAAATCTGCTATATGAAATGTCATGCTTCAGAAAGTGACTAAAATGAAAGCCATTTGAAAAGGGAAATCAGAATATTTTTTTCTATGTCCTGTTTTCCCCAGACCATCAAGCCTGCGGACATCGCCACAGTGAGGAAACTGGGCAAGCCCCCACACCTGATCATGCGCATCATGGACGCCGTGCTGCTGCTGTTCCAGCGCAGGGTGGACCCTGTCACCCAGGACCCAGAGAGACCCTGCCCCCGGCCCTCCTGGAGTGAGGCCCTCAAACTAATGCAGCAGTCTGGCTTCGTCAGCATGCTGGTCAACTTCAGCAAGGTAAGCCATACTGAAGGGGGAAGAGGTTTCAAGATGTATGGACATATTTAATCGGTCTCAAATGATCAAATCCGCCTTGTCCAAGTGTATTCTCAAGGGATTATAAAGTCTTAAGACTTCACATAGACTTACACCAACTATATAGGCTCGATATAACCAGCCATTTTCCTTTCCATGCAAAGCTTTAGCTGGGAATTTTCAGCTATGCGGAACAAGGACCCAATCTTTAACGTCTGCCTTGAACAGTATGGCCAGAGTCATATATACTGTATCTACAGATGGAGGATCTTAATTTGAGCCAGTTTGCTACTGCAGAAAAAGAATCCTGCAAAAACAGGAAATGTGAATTATTATGTGGATTATAATTAATGGACATTTTTGTAGGGGTTGAAAAAAAATTTGTCAGGGGAAAATCAAGTCTGAAATGTCAAAGTGGAAATTACAAACTTCAGAAGCCTTTTTAAACCTCAAATACACTGCGTTGTAGGAAAGTTCTACTGCAAAAAGGTAATCAAATTAAGATTCTACATCTGAATATGGAACTGGGTATGACGTCTGAGACGTGCTAACCCTATGATGACTCTCTTTCTAAAATGTCTCACCTACAGTATAGCTAACAGGTTTCAAAGTAAAGCCCCTTCTCGGATCATTACTAGCCTAGGCTATAAATACAACTCTGTCATTCACTGTCTATCAATATTTGTGGCTTCAATACAGCACTTTCATTCACTGTCTATCAGTATTTGTGGCTTCAATACAGCACTTTCATTCACTGTCTATCAGTATTTGTGGCTTCAATACAGCACTTTCATTCACTGTCTATAGCAGCTCTAGAGTTTCTTCCCTAACTGTCTGCACTCATCACACACACACACACACACACACACACACACACACACACACACACTCTTACTTAGGAGGGGATTAGGAAATCTGTCCAGGCAGTGAAATATGGACGCCATGGGAAAGCCCCCGCATAGTGACTGTGTGGCAGTGTGAAATAGAAACAGAGGTGCCAGTGAAGTCAAGGAACCTGATATCACAGCCCTTTGTCCCATCAACACTCAGCGAAACATTGTGTTTTTTGAGTTGTGAAACAGCATGCAGTCTGATATGACTGACTGACCTTCCTCTGTCCAATCTGTCATGAGCCTTTTAACAGATGTTTATCAAATGAACGTCTTTATATTAGACCAGGGCTATTCAACTACCGGCCCTCATGGGCTGAAGCAGATTGATAGATTGATCAATGTAACTGATTGGCCAATGTCACTGATTGGCCAGATAGCCCACTCACCTGGTGTCCCTGATTAAAAAGAGAGACAGTACATCAGAATTACAGTATTTCTGTCCTCCTGGCCCGAAGTTGAATATCCCTGTATTAGAACATGTAATTTCAACATAATGGATGTCAGCTTCCAGTTTTCTGTACTTTCCATTACGACTTATGCCCCCACATCACTTTCAATGCATTTGTTTACTCTTGTACTCTCACTTCACCAGGATTCTATCACTGAGGAGGTAGTGGAGCTGTTGGCACCGTACCTGGATATGGAGGACTACAACCTGGAGGCAGCCAAGAGGATCTGTGGTAACGTGGCTGGCCTCTGCTCCTGGACTGAAGCTATGAAGGACTTCTTTTCTATTAACAAAGAGGTCCTCCCTTTGAAGGTACCCTACTCTACAACCATGGACCCTTGTTTGAAGGGAATAAACTGTATATTTATGTACCAAAAGTAGGTTGAGAAAGATTTTACCCTGGTCTTTAACACTGTGTTGGCCCGCTGACCCAAAGCCTAGGCATTAGTTCAGGGAGCTAACGCAATTATGTAATTCTCAGAGAAAGTGACTCATCATGCAAGCTTGTTTTTATTGGTTCACAGGACCACTTCCATTACACTTCACCCCCCTTGACTGGCTGGGTACAAACCCGGGTCTTCTGCGCACTACAAGTCTGTGTTAGCCCGCTGAGTTACATACAGCATAGTCATTAGCTCAGGGAGCTAACGCAAGTCCTCAAGTCTCAAACAAGGTTACTCACCTAACCAATTCCTTTAAACGTGTCCATAGGCCAACCTGACCCTGCAGGAGGCCCGACTAGGCGTCGCCCAGGGGGAGTTATCCCGGGCACAGGAGCAGCTGGACGCTAAGCAACGGGAGTTGGATGAGGTGCAGGCGCTCTACGACGCCGCCATGAGGGAGAAGCAGACCCTAATGGACGACGCCACGGCCTGCCGGCGCAAGATGGCCAACGCCACCGCACTCATCGACGGGCTTGGTGGTGAGAAGGTGAGGCCTCTAACTATCACTGTCATGCCATATGGCTGGTGACATCTCCATGCATCTATCTTGTTGTGTTTGTCTGTCAGATCCGCTGGACCCAGAGCAGCGCCCTATTCCAGACTCAGATCAGACACCTGGTTGGGGACGTGTTGCTGGCTACTGGCTTCCTGTCCTACGCTGGTCCCTTTAACCAGGAATACCGCAACCTACTGCTGCAGCTCTGGAGGAAGGAGATGAGCACCCACCACATCCCCTACAGTGATGTAAGACTCAGCCACACTCTTTACTGTTCTTGTCCCATTTGTCCATATAGACTTAACTTTGTAACAATGATGCTAGTACATAGTCACTACATTTGATATTATTATTGGACAAAATTATCACATTGAGCTGATTAGTTGTGCTGTCTTAGACCATACTGGAATTGACCATGAATTGACCATGAATTGACCATGACCGCTGTAGGAGCTGAATGTGATCAGCATGCTGGTGGACAATGCCACTGTGGGGGAGTGGAACCTTCAGGGCCTACCCAACGACGACCTGTCCATCCAGAACGGCATTATCGTCACCAAGGCCTCACGCTACCCCCTCCTCATCGACCCACAAGGCCAGGGAAAGATCTGGATCAAGAACCGCGAGAAGGACAGGGAGCTAGAGGTAACGATGACTGAGTAGCTACAGCTATCTCACCCATAAAACGTTAGTCGGTATGAGATAAACATCTGGAGAAACAGACGTCATTCCTTTCATTGATATTCACTTGACCCTACCTGTTTTGTATTAAACAATTCAAATTAACCATCAAGTGAACATACGTTTTTATTACTATCTCTGTTACTGACTGTTTCAGGTGACATCTTTGAACCACAAGTACTTCCGCTCCCACCTAGAGGACAGCATGTCTCTGGGGCGCCCCCTACTGATCGAGGACGTAGGAGAGGAGCTGGACCCTGCCCTGGACAACATTCTAGAGAAGAACTTCATCAAGTCTGGCTCCACGTATAAAGTAATATGCTGCTTGTTGTCATCAATATAGATGTATAGGGTATGTGCTGTCTTGGAGTTAAAGGTCTTGGAGTTGTGTTTGTGCTTGCACAGCTGCTAGTTTGCAAATACTATTTGATAGATAATTATAATAGTGCCTGGAAACCTGTAATCGTTGCTCTCGTTTCCCCCCCCTTTCATTTTATTAAGCTCTATGGGGGAAATGAATTTAATTGTTTTTCATATTGGCTCCAAGTAGACCGTGCTATGACAACAAGCCTCCGGCTCTCTATTGCCTTTTCATAGAGTATCTCGTCTAACCCTCTGTTCCATGTCCTGTCCCCAGGTGAAGGTAGGAGACAAAGAGGTGGATGTGATGAAGGAGTTCACCCTCTATATCACCACTAAGCTGGCTAACCCAGCCTACACCCCTGAGATCAGTGCTAAGACTGCTGTGGTGGACTTCACTGTCACTCTCAAAGGCCTGGAGGACCAGCTGCTTGGTCGGGTCATCCAAATAGAGAAACAGGTACAGGGGTTCCATATGTATACCTATATAGTACATAACTGGGGTTGCCATTCATATTGTTTGAGTAAAGCTAGTCAAATATAGCTGTCATTCACACAGAGTTTATACAGAGTTTAAAGAAATACACTACCTACTTGCTCTTACAAGACATGCTTATTTCTCTGTCTCTCTGTCTGTGTGTGTTTGTTTCTCTCTCTCTCTCTCTCTTTCTCTCTCAGGAGTTGGAGTCGGAGCGTGTGAAGCTCTTGGAGGAAGTGACGTCCAACAAGAGGAAGATGCAGGAGCTGGAGGATAACCTCCTTTACAGACTGACCAGCACTGAGGGCTCTCTGGTGGAGGACGAGTCCCTTATCGAGGTCCTGAGAGTCACCAAGACCACAGCAGAGGAGGTATGTGTGTGTTTGGATGTGTGTGGGGGCAGGTTATATGTGTGCCTCTCTTCAGGTCAAATATTGGATTTAATGCAAAAGTTCCATATCGGGGTAAAATGCCACCTTTTCATTGATATGGCCAAATGTGCATGATTTCTTTCCAATGATGAAGTATGAAAGAAATTGATGCATGCAAGAGCATATTTTATTTATACATTTTTAGATATACCTATCTGCATTTCAACTATATGTATTTATTTTTATTTTCTCAGATTTGTGGCACTGTAGTCCAACATTGTACTTGAATTGTTCCCAACAGGTGAGTGAGAAGCTAACGGTGGCAGCCGAGACCGAGGTGAAGATCAACCTGGCCAGGGAGGAGTACCGTCTGGTGGCCACACGGGGCAGCATCCTCTACTTCCTCATAGTGGAGATGAGCCTGGTCAACATCATGTACCAGACCTCCCTACGCCAGTTCCTGGGCATCTTCGACTCATCCATGGAGAAATCCACCAAGTCCCAGATCACCTCTAAAAGGATCCTCAACATCATTGAGTTCCTGACCTACCAGGCGTTTCGATATACAGCGAGAGGCCTGTATGAGGATCACAAGTTCCTCTTCACCCTGCTGCTGGCACTGAAGGTCGACCTGCAGGCCAGGAACATCTCCCACAGCGACTTTCAAACCTTTATCAAAGGTTCGGCACATTACATTCATATTTACCATTACAACTTTCAGACCTTTATCACGTTAACTAACGTTGGATTGTTTCAGTACCTCCTGATTTGTTATGAATGTGGCTGATGTTTTCCCAGACATCCAGCTTGGAAATGACATTGATAGCTAAATAGAGGACACCTTATTTTTATTTATTTTTTCATTTTTATTGCTATGTAGTAAGATTTTCAGAACCTGCCATAGAAGTAATGAGTTGATACAGTAGCACTCCAATAACAGAAACTAGTTTTATCCCTACCTGACTACTACCGTATATGGTTTATGATTAGGTTATGATAAGACTGACCACATAACCTGGCCAGGATAAACTGTGAGGCCTAACTGTAGTCTAGAGCCTATATTTTGCTGGTCAGCTATCTATGATATAAAAAAGACAATTTCAACGTAACCCTTCAATTAATATCAGTCGTTACTAATCACATATACCTACACCTACTCATTCAAGGGTTTTTCTTTATTTTTACAATTTTTTACATTGTAGAATAATAGTGAAGACATCAAAACTATGAAATAACACATATGGAATCATGTAGTAACCAAAACAGTGTTAAACAAAACAAAATATATTTTATATTTGAGATTCTTTAAATAGCCACCCTTTGCCTTGATGACAGCTTTGCACACTCTTGGCATTCTCTCAACCAGCTTCATGAGGTAGTCACCTGGAATGCATTTCAATTAACAGGTGTGCCTTCTTAAATGCTATTTTGTGGAATTTCTTTCCTTCTTAATGCGTTTGAGCCAATCAGTTGTGTTGTGACAAGGTAGGGGGGGGGGTATACAGAAGATAGCCCTATTTGGTAAAAGACCAAGTCCATATTATGGCAAGAACAGCTCAAATAAGCAAAGAGAAACGACAGTCCATCATTACTTTAAGACATGAAGGTCAGTCAATCTGGAAAATTTCAAGAACTTTGAAAGTTTCTTCAAGTGCATTTAGAAAAACCATCATGCACTATGATGAAACTGGCTCTCATGAGGACTGCGACAGGAATGGAAGACCCAGAGTTACCTCTGCTGCAGAGGATAAGTTCATTAGAATTACCAGCCTCAGAAATTGCAGCCCAAATAAATGCTTCACAGAGTTCAAGTAACAGACACATCTCAACATCAACTGTTCAGAGGAGACTGTGTGAATCAGGCCTTCATGGTCGAATTGCTGCAAAGAAACCACTACTAAAAGACACCAATAAGAAGAAGAGACTTGCTTGGGCCAAGAAACACGAGCAATGGACATTAGACCGGTGGAAATATGTCCTTTGGTCTGGAGTCCAAATTGGAGATTTTTGGTTCCAACCGCTGTGTCATTGTGAGACGCGGTGTGGGTGAACGGATGATCTCTGCATGTGTAGTTCCCACCGTAAAACATGGAGGAGGAGGTGTTATGGTGTGGGGGTGCTTTGCTGGTGACACTGTCTGTGATTTATTTAGAATTCAAGGCACACTTAACCAGCATGGCTACCACAGCATTCTGCAGCGACGTGCCATCCCATCTGGTTTGCGCTTAGTGGGACTATCATCAACAGGACAATGACCCAACACACCTCCAGGCTGTGTAAAGGCTATTTTACCACGAAGGAGAGTGATGGAGTGCTGCATCAGATGACCTGGCCTCCACAATCCCCCGACCTCAACCAAATTGAGATGGTTTGGGATGAGTCGGACCGCAGAGTGAAGGAAAAGCAGCCAACAAGTGCTCAGCATATGTGGGAACTCCTTCAAGACTGTTGGAAAAGCATTCCAGGTGAAGCTGGTTGAGAGAATGCCAAGAGTGTGCAAAGCTGTCATCAAGGCAAAGGGTGGCTATTTGAAGAATCTCAAATATAAAATATATTTTGGTTTGTTTAACACTTTTTTGGTTACTACATGATTCCATATGTGTTATTTCATAGTTTTGATGTCTTCTATTATTCTACAATGTAGAAAATAGTAAAAATAAAGAGAAACCCTTAAATGAGTAGGTGTTCTGAAACTTTTGACTGGTAGTGTATATCAATTTGTTTCTTTTCACGACAAAAAGTATGACAGCCATATGGGCCTCTCGAGTGGCGCAGCGGTCTAAGGCACCGCAGTGCTTGAGTCGTCACTACAGATCCGGGTTCGATCCCAGGCTGTGTCCCAGCCGGCCACGACCGGGAGACCCATGAGGCGGAGCACAATTGGCCCAGCGTCATCCGGGTTAGGGGAGGGTTTGGCCGGCCGGGATGTCCTTGTCCCATCGTGCTCTAGCGACTCCTTGTGGCGGGCCGGGCACATGCACGCTGACTTCGGTCGCCAGTTGTACAGTGTTTCCTCCAACACATTGGTGCATCTGGCTTCCGGGTTAAGCGAGCAGTGTGTCAAGAAGCATTGCGGCTTGGCAGGGTCTGTGCAAATACAATAACACATTTACCACATGGCTCTCAACCTTCGCCTCTCCCGAGTCCGTACAGGAGTTGCAACGATGGGACAAGACTGTAACTACCAATTGGATATCACGAAATTGGGGAGAAAAAGGTGTAAAAAAAATGAATGACACCCATCACTTGGTTCTTATCACCCATGTAGGGTAGTGATCTCATACTGTGTCTCACATGCGACTTGGCCCACCCACAAGGGGGGTAACTGAATACCCCAGCCCTAGTTCAGCTTACATCACACTGCTGACTGTATGCATCCAGATCTATTTTAGCCCTCTGAATTCCCCCTCACACACCAATGGCATTAGGACTTTCTTTGACTCCTATAATGTACATCAAGCTGTGTATTTGGAAGAAGTCTTTGTTTGCTGTTATTGTATTTGCACAGTCCCCCGTGTGGCTCAGTTGGTAGAGCATGGTGCTTACAACGCCAGGGTTGTGGGTTGGATTCCCACGGGGGACCAGTATGAAAATGTATGCACTCACTACTGTATGTCGCTCTGGATAAGAGCATCTGCTAAATGACTTAAATGCATACAGTACACAGTACCTCTTATTTATAACATTGACTTGTTTTCAACCTTTACAGTAAAGAGAACTGTTATCCGTCATGCTTCCATCTTAAAATGAACCCAGTATTCACTAAGCAAAGCCTCTGAGGTTTAATGTGCTTCTTCACCCTCAGACCCCACTTAGATTTGTGTAGTTCTCACTTTCTCTCTCTCTTACGTTTGTTGCCGTTATTCAATTAAATCGTTATTGACCCATGAGTAATAAGGATATTCACTGTGCAACCACGCATTACAGAAGACACATATTTAGAACATCAAATGAGTGTATAGTTACACATATGGAATACATCTCCTCCTCCCCTAGGAGGTGCAGCCCTGGACCTGAACTCTGTGGAGCCCAAGCCGCGGCGCTGGATCCTGGACATAACGTGGCTGAACCTGGTCCAGCTGTCCAGCGTGCACCCTTTCACCCAGCTGCTGACCCAGGTCACCCACAATGACCGCTCTTGGAGGGCCTGGTTCGACGAGCCCGCCCCCGAGGAGGCCCCGGTGCCTGACGGGTACGACAGCATGCTGGACACCTTCAGGAAGTTATTGTTGATCAGGAGCTGGTGCCCCGACCGGACCATCGCCCAGGTGGGTGGGCCTATCTGTTGTTATTTAGGCCTCATGTTCGAATTGGGTCAGTGTCTGCTCAATGAACATTTCCTGTGTTATCTGCAACAATAGTTTTTTGTTTCAACAGAAGAAATAGATAACCGTGCATTTTCAAGATACTAGTTTCTATTTACCCCTCGAATAAAATCCCCACGTACAGCAAAAGCTGTTGACCCAAATCAACCCAAACGTTATTAATCATTCCTTTAGTCTGGATGGGGCCTTTTAATATTTTGATGCAGTTACAGTGCCCCAGAATTAAAGGTGGTAGGTAGTCTAGTGGTTAAGAGTGTTGGGCCAGAGACCGAAAGGTCGCTGGTTCAATTCCCCGAGCCGACTCGGTGAAAAATCTGTTGACGTTTCCTTCAGCAAGGCACTTAATCCTAATTGCTCCTGCATGTCGCTCTGGGTAAGAGTGTTTGCTAAATGACGTAAATGTAAAATAAACGTGCTGGCCTCATACCTCTCACACCAATCAAGGGCAAATTAGCTATAAAAAAAATAACATCTAAATTAAGATGCTTGCTGAGTGATGTAATTTGACAAGCTAATTTACTTGGTAACCGTGGAAACTCTGGGGAAGCCGGTGAGAGAGAAAGGCACAGGTGTACTGTAATCATTTACAAATGCGTACGTTACAGACAAGCATCTGCCCTTTCAGTTCTGACTTGGGAGGGAACTATAAAAAGCCTCTCTGAAATGAGCGAACAGCTGGCTGCCCGCAAAGCCAGAGATGACCCGTTCAAATCCACCATCTCTCCTTCGCAACCAAACTATTGCCAAGTTACACAAACCAGACTGTGTAGGGTCGGTCCAAATCCTTCAAACACTGAGTAAATATTATGTTTGTCTGAAGAAACAAGACAAAGAACTGTTTGATGGTACAATGCATAGTTTTGCATCAGTAAACCACAGTGAATACATTTGATCATAATTTTATATCAGCAATATGTAATGGCTTTGAAAACATTTCAACAAGTTCCGAATGAATATGGCATTATGTAAGCATGAACTCTATTAAAATGAATAAGTAGGGTTAGGGTGTGGTACTTTCCAACCTTTTGTGAAATGTCACACTTCTCCCCACTTTTGGACAGCCAGAGGAGCTAAGTCACTGAATTCCCATGTCAAATCTGATCTGAGGTCTCCACTTTAGAAATGCTACCTACATGTATATAATAAGGGGAGGCAGCTGATTACATTTTGACACGCATGACAGGTGGAAGCTGAGTTTGAGGCCCTTTGCCAAAGCTCTACTAAGCTAGGACTATTCCACGTACCTACAGGGTGATTCCATGCCAGTGTAGCCCCAAAATAATGTTTGTATCTCAGATTGTTCTGGCAATTCTCACATAGAAACTTCATAGGGAGGAAGGATGTTTGACATGCTTTTTACATTTATATCACAAACCATTTGTGAGAAAATCATGATGAAAGTGGCCATTTTAGGCCCTTTTAGACCTAAAATGCCCTTTTCAGATACCCAAAATATTTTCGGCCTACGCTGCCATGGAATCGCCCTACATGCTCCTGGAAGTGAAGTGACACAGTTGGTGTGGCCGTGGTGATAGTAATGGCAAGGTTGTGGGTTTAAGTCCTGCAGGGATCACATACACTGAACACAAATGTTATGCACTCAATGTACTATACATTGTCTCCCGAGTGGCGCAGTGGTCTAAGGCACTGCATCGCAGTGCTAGCTGTGCCACTAGAGATCCTGGTTCGAATCCAGGCTCTGTCGTAGCCGGCCGCGACCGGGAGACCCATGGGGCGGCGCACAATTGGCCCAGCGTCGTCCAGGTTAGGGGAGGGAATGGCCGGCAGGGATGTAGCTCAGTTGGTAGAGCATGGCGTTTGCAACGCCAGGGTTGTGGGTTCGATTCCCATGGGGGGCCAGTATGAAAAAAAAATAAAAAATGTATGCACTAACTGTAAGTCGCTCTGGATAAGAGCGTCTGCTAAATGACTAAAATGTAAATGTAAATGTATTGTGCTGTAAACAAACATTTTCCACATTCAATTGAAAACTAATGTTAAACTCATGTTCTCCAGCCATGTTTCTTATCCTTTGGGATACTTTGAATACTACCTGTCTATGTCTCTTCAGCCAACGCATTTCCAATCATCTCTATTAATAGAACGCATCTTATATACAGTACTGCGCTCTATGCTCCTAGGCTGCAGATCCTCTGTGCAACCTGTCAATGATTCTGCTTTAGGTTATTGCTATGTGATCCGGATAAAATAATTTCCCCAATGGCCGTATAATTATCACCCTGCAATATAAACTTTTCACAAATAGAAATAGGTGAATTCAAACATGTAGGTTTTTATTTCATAGTTCTCTGTCATCTTAGAACCCAGGTTGATCCACCAAATGTTGCCTCTTCAATAATGTCAAAACGAAAACCTTGAATAAAGCCATAGATTTATCTAAAGCATTACCCAAAGCTAATGAAACGTTTCCATGTTGAAATTCCTCAGCTACAGTGGTATAGCCTGTGTTCTCCACATTAGCAGGTGAATCCCTTAGTTTTTTGTTCCAGGCACGGCATTACATCGCTGAGTCGCTGGGGCCTAAGTACGCAGAGGGGGTCATTCTGGACATGGAGTCCATGTGGGCGGAGAGTGACAAGAGGACTCCCATGGTGTGCTTCCTGTCTATGGGCTCCGATCCCACAGAGAACATAGAGAGGCTGGCCAAAGCAAAGGTAACTTTAGTGGCAAGTTTCCCAGACCTAGATTAAGACTACTCCTGGACTAAAAAGTGTTATGCATCTGTTTTCTACTGTATGCATGTGACTGTTTTGCTGGTGTTGCGTCCGGTGTGTACCTGTAGGGAGCACCATGCAGACCCATCTCCATGGGGCAGGGCCAGGAAGTGCACGCTCGCAGGTTATTGGCCAACAGTATGGCTGACGGAGGTTGGCTCCTCCTCCAGAACTGCCACCTGGGCCTGGACTTCCTGGACGAGCTGCTGGAGTCGGTCACCAACAACGAGAGCATCCACGACGGTTGTAGGGTGTGGCTGACCACCGAGGTCCACCCCAAGTTCCCCATCAACTTCCTGCAGTCGTCCATCAAGTTCACCAATGAGCCTCCTCAAGGTACATGACACCACTTCTTCTGTGTTGACTTTCAGAATCTGGATTGAGTAACATGGCATATACAGTATCTTCCTATTATTAATTTGTATCATACCAGATGTGTGGTTTTATGTTGTGTCCAGGTATGAAAGCAGGGTTGAAAAGGACCTACAACAGTGTGACTCAGGAGATGCTTGAGATCACTAACCTGCCCCAGTGGAGACCTCTGTTATACGCTGTGGCCTTCCTCCACACTACTGTTCAGGTCTGACTGAACAACATTATTTCAAACCCGATTCAACCCCGTATCATAATCCCATATCCCCATATCATACCGCCATATCATACCCCCATATCCCCAATGGCTGTTGTTTCTCTAACATTTTCATCTTTCATATCAATAATACTCTTTCCATCTACTGTTCCTGTTTTCCTTCCTTTTTATCTGGTTCTTACCAGTACTCTGCCTCTGTATTTCTCTGGTTCTTACCAGTACTCTGCCTCTGTATTTCTCTGGTTCTTACTAGTACTCTGCCTCTGTATTTCTCTGGTTCTTACCAGTACTCTGCCTCTGTATTTCTCTGGTTCTTACCAGTACTCTGCCTCTGTATTTCTCTGGTTCTTACCAGTACTCTGCCTCTGTATTTCTCTGGTTCTTACCAGTACTCTGCCTCTGTATTTCTCTGGTTCTTACCAGTACTCTGCCTCTGTATTTCTCTGGTTCTTACCAGTACTCTGCCTCTGTATTTCTCTGGTTCTTACCAGTACTCTGCCTCTGTATTTCTCTGGTTCTTACCAGTACTCTGGTTTATACAGTACTCTGCCTTGTATTTCTCTGGTTCTTACCAGTACTCTGCCTCTGTATTCTCTGGTTCTGCCAGTACCTGCCTCTGTATTTCTCTGTTTACCAGTACTCTGCCTCTGTATTCTCTGGTTCTTACCAGTACTCTGTCTCTGTATTTCTGGTTCTTACCAGTACTCTGCCTCTGTATTTCTCTGGTTCTACCAGTACTCGCCTCTGTATTTCTTGGTTCTTACCAGTACTCTGCCTCTGTATTTCTCTGGTTCTACCAGTACTCTGCCTCTGTATTCTCTGGTTCTTACCAGTACTCTGCCTCTGTATTCTCTGGTTTTACCAGTACTCTGCTCTGTATTTTCTGGTTCTTACCAGTACTCTGCCTGTATTTCTCTGGTTACCAGTACCTGCCTCGTATGTCTCTGGTTCTTACCAGTACTCTGCCTCTGTATTTCTCTGGTTCTTACCAGTACTCTGCCTCTGTATTTCTCTGGTTCTTACCAGTACTCTGCCTCTGTATTTCTCTGGTTCTTACCAGTACTCTGCCTCTGTATTTCTCTGGTTCTTACTAGTACTCTGCCTCTGTACCTCTTTCTCCCCCCTGTGCAGGACAGGGAACCCTTTGAAAATCAGTAGGTCTACTGTGAAACACTCAAGTTCTTTACATTACAATCTATGCTTTAACAGTCCAGTTATTACTGATAATTATATTTTACCCTGTGAAAATAAATGAATGAATGAATGGATGAACCAATGATGTCAATCAATCTATCTATCTATCAATCAATCACGTGTGTTGGTTTTTCTCCATGCAGGAGAGGCGTAAATTTGGCCCCCTGGGCTGGAACATCCCGTACGAGTTCAACCAGGCAGACTTCACCTCCAGCATGCAGTTTGTCCAGAACCACCTGGATGAGTTAGACGTCAAGCGTGGCGTCAACTGGAGCTGCCTGCGCTACATGCTGGGCGAGGTCCAATATGGTGGCCGCGTCACAGACGACCTGGACAAACACCTTCTCAACACCTTCACCAGCGTGTGGTTCAGCGAGAGCATGTTCGCTGACAAGTTCTGTTTCTACAAGGGTTATACCATACCCAAAGCCAAGAATGTGCCGGATTACCTGCTCCACATTGAGACCCTGCCGCTGGTCGACTCGCCAGAGGTAAGAGGGGGGGGAGAGGTGACATTGGTGCTACATCGTCCTTTTCTGATTGCAGTTAGCAGACGGTTCATGTTAGACAGCTTTTGGTTCATTTTGAATAGGCCACTATGAGAATGGAGCAACGGACATATTTTGCTCTACTCAAACATACAACACATATACTAATCCCAGTTGTGTGACCGACAGGTATTCGGTCTTCATCCTAATGCTGACATTACGTACCAGACAAACATGGCCAACGAGATCCTGAGCACTATCATCAATATCCAACCCAAGGACAGTGGAGGAGGGGGAGGGGAGACCAGAGAGGCCACTGTCCAGAAATTGGCCAATGAGATGCTGGACAAGCTGCCACCAGACTACGTTCCATATGAGGTAACCAACCAGATATGGACAAGGTCGATAGTGTCAATCAGGGGTTGGCGTCAGCAAATGTTATATCTCTGTAAAGATACCATATGTACCACAGATCAACTGAACAACTACATCAATAATAAGGTCCCCTCTACTTTGTGCTTCAGGTGAGAGCTCATCTTCAGAAAATGGGCCTTTTCCAGCCCATGAACATCTTTCTGCGGCAGGAGCTTGACCGCATGCAGCGAATCATAGGCTGTGTACGGAGTACTCTCAGCGATCTGAAACTGGCCATCGATGGTAAGTCTCTGAAAAACACATACTGTAAATGCATACAGAGGTACTATAAAAAAGATCTGTAATCTGTAATAAAAACAACTTTCACACTGTACTGTGTAAGTAGCATAGAAATACATAGCTAGTTAGCAACTTTTTATCTACTCCAAAATCTAACTAAGTGAGACCTTTGAGTCTGGTTTCAATAGGTTTCAAGTCCCTGAACTAAACTATCTACCATTAGGGACCATTATCATGTCAGAGGATTTGAGGGATGCCCTGGACAGCATGTACGATGCCCGCATCCCCAAGCTGTGGCAGAAGATCAGCTGGGACTCTGCAACGCTGGGCTTCTGGTTCACGGAGCTACTGGAGAGGAACCAGCAGTTTCATACCTGGATCTCCAGTGGACGGCCCCACCAGTTCTGGCTCACTGGCTTCTTCAACCCACAGGTGTGATATACTGCAAACGTACAAGCTCAGAGGTGGAGCAGATGTGGCAGTCGCACCAATGAATATCTGGTTACAGTAATACGTGTGGAACTTGTACTGTTTATGTATTACCTGGGAATAATATATGTTACGTTATTATATAAATGTTATGGTTTTAAATAGTGTTCTTTTAAAGCACCTAGCAAAAATTTAGAATTTCCCTTTTATCTGTGATTTTCAAAGTCATCCCATGATAAACTGTATGTGGTTTGTCATAGGGCTTTCTGACTGCCATGAGGCAGGAGACCACGAGGATGAACCTGGCCAAGGGCTGGGCTCTGGACACTGTCGTCCTGCACAACGATGTCACCCGGATGATGAGGGAGGACGTCACTGCGCCGCCGCCAGACGACATTGGCGGAGTCTACATCTACGGACTCTTCCTGGACGGGGCAGGGTGGGACAGGAGAAACGCCAAACTCACAGAGTCGCCACCAAAGGTTAACATGTAGCATCATCTCATTTTCTACTTGGAATATTTATACTCATTATTAATATTCGATTCACAAAGATCAATGGTAAAAACTAACTTTGATTGAACCAGACCTGGGTTCTGTCAACAACAAGAAATGTATACGATCATACCAATGGAATAGTCCCGAAAGTGAAAACTCTCAATTCAAGTGCACCTTGATTAATTGTATTTGACATAATGTATTTGACCCAGGTCTGTAATGAATTTCCTTTGAGTCTGAAGTTGCTAGAAACCAGCCTATCGAGTCTCACCCCCATCTTTCACTTCCAGGTCCTTTTCACGGTCCTCCCTGTGGTCCACGTCTATGCTATCAGCACGTTGGCTTCCGATGCCAAGCGTCAGCAAGGGATAAGCCTGTACCCCTGTCCCGTGTATAAGAAACCCAGACGCACAGACCTCACCTTCATCTTCTCCCTGCTGCTGCGCACCGTCCAGTCCCCTGACCACTGGACACTGAGGGGAGTGGCTCTTCTCTGTGACTGCAAATGAGTGGGAATTTCACTTCAAGTGGTAGCCATTTTAGTTTTGCAAAACCTGTTTGTGTAGGGGGAGGCATTGGATAGGTAGGGCTCCGTGTGTGCATGTGTGAGTGTGTGTGTGTGTGTGTGTGTGTGAATAAGTGACTGTGTGTGTGTCTCAACCACATACTGAATATGACAATGACGACAATGTGTGTGTTTATCTAATTACAAATGATTTCTCAGATTTACTGTATGTCTATGTTGTACAAATTAATTGATTAATTAATAATGCTAGCGTTTTGTGCAGCCAAATTACTATATTTTGAATTTTTATTAAACATATTTTCAAAGAATACCAGAAGATGTAAACAAAGCAAAAGTCGTATAGAAATTCCTGTTTCTGATTAACTCATCACATTCTGGTATTTTATCTCTTAAAGTGCTGTAGAAAAGATAGTTGTTTTGACAAGTTTCCCTTATTCCAATATATCCACTAAAATCAACCCCTCTGACACTTTACCCTGTCAAAAAGCATTTGAATAGCATCATGTGGCATCATAGTAATAACACTTTTATAACATTTTAATAATTATGTAATAAATCATAGCATAGCAAACAAGGATGCCAGTTATTTCACAGTTCTATACTTTATGACTGGGTTATGTGTGTTTTAATATTAGTGTGGTTGTCATAAGCTGTTAAGACACATTTTATGGGAATTTACAAAAGCTTTCGACTACTATCTTGTCTACTATGTCTACTATCTTGACATATGTTGGACGTGTAACAAATATTACCATAGCAACAGTTAGTGTAGTACTGCACCTATTTTAGACCTTTTTAAACACGAGTAAAAAACTGTGTTCATTAAATAGAAACAAAATCTACAGTTAACAAGACTATCGGACAGTTGAATAAGATAATAACATGCACAATGTGTTACCTCTCCTTAGCAGCAGAGAGGCTTACAATCCATTCTATATATGCAATGTGACAAACTCAAGAGAATTCCTCTCAACTTAAAATGAAATAACACCTATAGTCATGCCAAATCACTCACTCTATAACAGCAAAAAATATCTAGAAATGGCTTCATATATTAAACAGTACTAGATGAGCAGAAGATGCACATATTCAGGAATCTGCTTATGTCCACGGGGAGTTAAATTATGTACTTACAATGTCTATTCCTACTGGCCATTTGTATAGCTAATTTAATTTTATTATGTCATATCCATAGATATTTGACATAATGCACAGTGGTTTCCTCACCCACCCTTTCAAATAATATAGTATAATATTATATGCCATTTAGCAGAAGCTTTTATCCAAAGCTTTTATCTTACAGTCATGCGTGCATACATTGTTCGTATGTCTGGTTCCAGGAATCAAACCCACTACCCTGGTGTTAGAAGCGCCATGCTCTACCAACTGAGCTACAAAGGACCAATTTAGAAATTAACCCATTTTCCCATGAAATGATATATACTTGTTATATATGTTTATATATGCATTACTCCTAGACAACAGCTGATTTGAAATTTTCTCTGCAAAAACTGCACAAGAAATTATATCTAATCACTGAATTCTGGTTTGGTGGGCATGAATTGACATCATTTCAGTCCTAAAGCTCATCACTCTTCACATACCATTATACAAGACATTTCTCTGTCAATTTATTGTTTTGCATATGTAACATTAACCTCAATCAAACCATTTATACCAAAACTCAATTTCAACTTCCATCATTTCAGTAGTTTAGCCTTAACATCCCATATTCAGCCTTTCAACATGCAAATTAAAGACAATTGAATGTCCGTTATATTATAAGGATGTTGACTATAAAGATGTTGAAAGTCTGTAGAAAATGTCCAATCCCACAAACTTGCTGTAATTCTTGTCAGTTTATTTGTTTTGCAAAGTCCATGTTTAATGTAAACAAATCAAAAAATTCTAAACTTGTTCTATATAAATCCTTGAATTCCCAAAACAAAGATGGGAGTGTGTGGATTATATGAACTGATTGTGTTGACACCCTAACTGGCCTGTTTCTGGGACCAGTACTACTGGGACTATTGGTCACAGGCCAATCCTACAAAAAAAAACAAAGAAAACATGTATGTTGTTGTTTTTCCGTTTCCTTGACCGCTGTTTTAGGAGAGCCGCTTGATATCATGTATCGGTACCTCATCCTCTCCTCCATCCTCAGCCTCCTTGGTCACCTCCGTGTAGGCAAGGTCAGGGCTTGCAGATTTGCGTCCCTTGGGTGGTGGGATGGGTGCGGCATCCTCAGTGACCCCCTCGGCCCCCTCCTGGCCCTCCGCCACAGTCCTCTCCTTCTTGAGTTTGGCTGGTACATGGCTGGCAATGGATTCCTTGAGCCGCGAGCCGGACTGCTTGAGCCTCTCGCCGGACTGGCGGATCTTCTCCCGGCGCTCAGTTGATACGATGCGCTCACCCATCTGGCCAACCTTGCTGCTCATGTTCTCTTTCGTCTTGGTCATGTTCACACGGGAGAAGGTAGATTTGAAGCTCTCGATGCGGCTCAGGCCTGATTTCTTCATCTTGGCGGCCGTGGACGAGGCTTCCTCCACCACCATGTACTCCTCATCAGACTCAGGGGGGAGCTCAAAGTGGTCTGGCTCCACTTCGGCCGCCGACGGTTTGGGTGCCTTGGGTTCACTGGGTTCTTTGGGTTCCTTTCCGGCTGCCACAGCTGGCACCTCACTGTCGCCCTGTAATGAGAACAGAAACCAGGTTGAGTGTCTCAGAACCACCTCAAAAGAATCAAAGGGATTCACAAAAGCGCTTGTGAGTCCCCCTGCTAGTATACATCTGTAACCTGTAAAACCACACATTTCACTGCACCTATCCGGCGCATGTGACAATAAAACTTGTCTTCTTTTTTTTGTCTGCCTGCTAGTATACATCTGTAATATCAAGTGGTAGCACTTTGTTTCAGGTGTAATGATGTCTCTGACAGAAGGATTGCAATAGTATTGAGGTGTAACACATAGAAAATAAAGTCTTGTTGGGAGGAGAATGACTGCCATAATATTTACGTTTTTGCCTTCATTGTATGATCTAAATAATGTTGAATGAAGAATCTGACATCTTGACAATCCTGAGAAGCACAGACCAACTGCTCTCGCTTAATGCTGCGTGTCCCATAACACAGTTAAGACATGATTTAATGGGTTAAAGTTTCATATAGTACTTCATTCATTAAAGTCAATGTTTGAAATTATTAAATTATTTTATTACTATTATTATTAAATGAGAGCAGCCACTCATGAACACATTGCCAAGAATCATAAATCATTGTATTTTATGAATTACCATAGAGGGCAGCTAAATGGGTATCTGCAACCCAACACTGTATCCAGCCCACACTGTGAGCTTCAGTTAATCAGTGAATTTGGTTCAAACCATTATTTGGGACTGTATATCTGTTAACCCAATGAGTCCCACGTGATGCCGGCGCGAATTGGACTTCTTACCCCTTTTAAACGTGTGTTTGAGCTACAAACTATTTAAAGCTATCTATGACAAGCTGAGACTCTCACAAACATGCACATGTACCATGTTCTGCTCTATGATGTTCACAAGCTACACAAGAGTTGTTAGAAGGTAAGGGGTTCTTCTACATAGAAGATCACAGGAAATCCCAGGACATAGTGTCTATAATACTGTAATAAGCTCACATAGTTGCTGTCTTAAACACCAAACTCCACACAGTTGTCACTGACTAGTTGGATATTAATTTCCCAGTTAGCAAACCATTTATGTACTGTACTGCATTCATATAAATTCATTTTTGTATCATGTTTTTGCTTTGGCTGACCTTCGTTTTATTGACATTTGTCAATAAAACGTATGAATGCAACTGTTTATGTCAAATAGTTTTTTGTTCTACTTTTAGCCCTGGTTGTCCTGAAAAGAAAATGGTAAAACACTTAACTGTGAGGTTAAATATAAGGGCTGGACATGCAGATAAATGAAAGTCATGTAAATGAAAAGCCGATTTTTGCTGGGGTCTCGGGACTGATAGGGTTAATAGGACAGGTCAACTCAATTTCATAGATTGACCCTAATTGGGGGGGTTTTCCCCCCACCTTCAATCACTTAATAAAAGTATGATTTCAGTATTACACAAAAACACGCTCCATTCTAAGATGTAAATAAATTGTGTTCTATGTGCATTTCAGAATTAAGTTATATGCCTCTAATATTCTATGAAAAACACAAGACTTTAATGTTATTTCAAAAATAATAATTTATTACATCATTCGAAATGTATGCACTTTATAGAATATGCCATAAAGGCCTACAGTATTTCACAACATGTCCAAAGTTGGGTAGAAATACGAAGGTTTTGATACAACATTGTGTCCATTGTGTCCAAAGTTCACCTGAGAACACCATTCATTTAGATATGCGTTCATTAAAAACGCTTTTAATGAGAACTGGTTTGATAGTCTTTGGCATATGTCAGAAAGGTACTGGTTCACTTGGGTCTCTCATTTCTCTCTCCTGCTTGAAGTTATTTAGGAATTGGAGATGCTTCAGTACGTTTTCCATGGGCCTCCAGCTCATTCATCCTTTCAAGAAATGTTCACAAGAGAAAAACCATGTCTTAACATCATATCTTAACATTATACATCAACTGTTTCATGTGTTTGAAATACATACAGTGCATTTGGAAAGTATTCAGAATACTTCACTTTTTCAACATTGTGTTACATTACAGCCTCATTCTAAAATGGATAAAATTGTTTCACCCCCCCCTCATCAATCTACACACAACGCCCCATAATGACAAAGCAAAAATTGGTTTTTAGAAATGTTTGCAAATATATAAAAAATAAAACAGAAATATCACATTTATATATATTCAGACCCTTACTCAGAACTTTGTTGAAGCACCTTTGGCAGCGATTACAGCCTCAAGTCTTCCTGGGTATGACGCTACAAGCTTGGCACACCTGTATTTGGGGAGTTTCTCCCATTCTTCTCTGCAGATCCTCTCATGGTCTATCAGGTTGGATGGGGAGCGTTGCTGCCCAGCTATTTTCAGGTCTCTCAAGAGATGTTCGATCGGGTTCAAGTCCGGGCTTTGGCTGGGCCACTCAAGGACATTCAGAGACTTGTCCCGAAGCCACGCCGGCGTTGTCTTGGCTGTGTGCTTAGGGTTGTTGTCCTGTTGGAAGGTGAATGTTCGCCCAGTCTGGTGTCCTGAGCGCTCTGGAGCAGGTTTTCATCAAGGATCTCTCTGTACTTTGATCCGTTCATCTTTCCCTCGATCCTGACTAGTCTCCTAGTCCCTGCCACTGAAAAACCACAGCATGATGCTGCCACCACCATGCTTCACCGTAGGGATGGTGCCAGGTTTCCTCCAGACGTGAAGCTTGGCATTTAGACCAAAGAGTGTCTTATATAGATGGATGTGTGCGTTTCCAAATCATGTCCAATCAATTGAATTTACCACAGGTGGACATTTACATTTTACATTTTAGTAATTTAGCAGACGCTCTTATCCAGAGTGACTTACAGTTAGTGAATACATATATATATTTTTTTATACTGGCCCCCCGTGGGAAACGAACCCACAACCCTGGCGTTGCAAACGCCATGCTCTATCAACTGAGCTACATCCCTGCCGGCCATTCCCTCCCCTACCCTGGACGACGCTGGGCCAATTGTGCGCCGCCCATGAGTCTCCCGGTCAAGGATGATCAATGGAAACAGGACGCACCTGAGCTCAATTTCTAGTCTCATAGCAAAGGGTCTGAATACTTATGTAAATAAGGTATGTATTTCTTTTTCTTTTTAGCAATTTATTTTATAAAAACCTTTTTTCGCTTTGTCATTATGGGATATTGTGGGTAGATTGATCATGAAAAAAAGTAATTTAATCAATTTTAGAATAAGGCTGTAACAAAATATGGAAAAAGTCAAGGGGTATGAATACTTTCCAAATTCACTGTAGGTATAGTGTACTGCAAGTACAGATAGGTGAGAGTATTTACAACTCGTATATCTGATTACTGTTTGTGTAATTACATAGTGAAATTGGTAGAACCATCACATTTGCAAACAAACGGAATGAATTATTCTATAACTAAGAATTATAGATATAATGTATTATTGTCATTATAGATGCCACATTCTGACATTCTGAAAGCTGCAAACTACACTACCGGTCAAAGGTTTTAGAACACCTACTCATTCAAGGGTTTTTCATTATTCTTTACTATTTTCTACATTGTAGAATAAAAGTGAAGACATCAAAACTATGAAATAACACATATGGAAACATGTAGTAACCAAAAAAGTGTTAAACAAATCAAATAGCCACCCTTTGCCTTGATGACAGCTTTGCACACTCTTGGCATTCTCTCAACCAGCTTCACCTGGAATGCTTTTCCAACAGTCTTAAAGGAGTTCCCACATACGCTGAGCACTTGTTGGCTGCTTCTCCTTCACTCTGCAGTCTGACTCATCCCAAACCATCTCAATTTGGTTGAGGTCGGGGGATTGTGGAGGCCAGGTCATCTGATGCAGCACTCCATCACTCTCCTTCGTGGTAAAATAGCCTGGAGGTGTGTTGGGTCATTTCCTTGTGAAAAACAAATTATAGTCCCACTAAGCCCAAACCAGATGGGATGGCGTATCGCTGCAGAATGCTATGGTAGCCATGCTGGTTAAGTGTGCCTTGAATTCTAAATAAATCACAGACAGTGTCACCAGCAAAGCACCCCCACACCAAAACATCTCCTCCTCCATGCTTTATGGTGGGAAATACACATGCTGAGATCATCCATTCACCCACACCGCATCTCACAAAGACACGATGGTTGTAACCAAAAATCTCCAATTTGGACTCCAGACCAAAGGACAAATTTCCACCGGTCTAATGTCCATTTCTCGTGTTTCTTGGCCCAAGCAAGTCTCTTCTTCTTATTGGTGTCCTTTAGCAGTGGTTTCTTTGCAGCAATTCGACCATGAAGGTCTGATTCAGTCTCCTCTGAACAATTGATGTTGAGATGTGTCTGTTACTTGAACTCTGTGAAGCATTTATTTGGGCTGCAATTTCTGAGGCTGGTACCTCTAATGAACTTATCCTCTGCAGCAGAGGTAACTGGGTCTTCCATTCCTGTGGCTGTCCTCATGAGAGCCAGTTTCATCATAGAGCTTGATTGTTTTTGTGACTGCACTTTAAATACACTTTCAAGGTTCTTGAAATGTTCCGTATTGACTGACCTTCATGTCTTAAAGTAATGATGGACTGTCGTTTATCTTTGCTTATTTGTGCTGTTCTTGCCATAGTATGGACTTGGTCTTTTACCAAATAGGTCTATCTTCTGTACCTTGTCACAACACAACTGATTGGCTCAAACGCATTAAGAAGGAAAGAAATTCCACAAATTAGCATTTAAGAAGGCACACCTGTTAATTGAAATGCATTACAGGTGGCTACCTCATGAAGCTAGTTGAGAGAATGCCAAGAGTGTGCAAAGCTGTCATCAAGGCAAAGGGTGGCTATTTGAAGAATCTCAAGTATAAAATATAATTTGATTTGTTTAACACTTTTTTGGTTACTACATGATTCCATATGTGTTATTTCATAGTTTTAATGTCTTCACTATTATTCTACAATGTAGAAAATAGTACAAATAAAGAAAAACCCTTGAATGAGTAGGTGTTGGAACACTTTTGACTGGTAGCGTAGTATACACACATGTAACATTGTGTACTTACACTATTATGGCACTGGAGCAATTATGTAACTAGCATGTAAATACATTTAGCACCAAAACTTACACACCATACTGTGTATATTGTTCTCCCTGAATAAAGTTGGGAATTTAACTGTGAACTGGAGCCTTGATTCTTGGCCTATTTATACTCACACCTGTTAATGTAGCTCAGCATTAGGCGGTAGAAAGCTAAACACATCCCCAATGCATAGCTTTTGTAGCTTTCTTATAGCGTGTAAGAAGCTGTAAGCAAGCTGTATCCGTTTCAAGGAGCACCTGTATCAGTCAGGTAACTTGATGTTCAATAATATCATTGAAAAATAAAGTTAAAAATATAAAAATGGTTGGTTTAAAGTATCATGCCAAAGCCTTACACGTATTCAAGTTCCATTTATGGGTGAGGAAGTTTGCTTCCAATGCTGAATTCTCAGTTGCAGTGCTGTTCCAATGTATTGTAGCGAGGCAGGTACCATGTACTATATGAAATATTATTACTATTAATGTACTGTATCATTAATATGCCTCTTACATATTATAGGACACCTGATCTAAACACTTACACTAGAAGTTCAAACCTTTGACTGTATAAAATGACAGCCTCACACACAAAGGATTAACATGCTAAACCTTTATTATAGGCCAAGCACACTAAAACTTTGCGAAATGAAGCCAAAGAAATTACGACTTTTGAAGTATATTAAACACAATTTCAATATATAACTTAGCCCTATCACGAGGACATCATTCTGAGAATGTCCTCCCGCCTTTTCTGTATAAACTATATACTGTAATGTTGTACAGTATATAGTACTACATACTGAGTGACTTACCTACAGTTGAAGTCGGAAGTTTACATACACTTTAGCCAAACACATTTAAACTCAGTTTTTCACAATTCCTGAAATTTTATCCTAGTAAACATTTCCTGTTTTAGGTCAGTTAGGATCATCACTTTATTTTAAGAATGTGAAATGTCAGAATAATTGAAGTGAGAATGATTTATTTCAGCTTTTATTTCTTTCATCACATTCCCAGTGGGTCAGAAGTTTACATACACTCAATTAGTATTTGGTAGCATTGCCTTTAAATTGTTTAACTTGGGTCAAACGTTTCGGGTAGCCTTCCACAAGCTTCCCACAATAAGTTGGGTGAATTTTGGCCCATTCCTCCTGACAGAGCTGGTGTAACTGAGTCAGGTTTGTAGGCCTCCTTGCTCGCACACGCTTTTTCACTTCTGCCCACACATTTTCTATAGGATTGAGGTCAGGGCTTTGTGATGGCCACTCCAATACCTTGACTTTGTTGTCCTTAAGTCATTTTGCCACAACTTTGGAAGTATGCTTGGGGTCATTGTCCATTTGGAAGACTCATTTGCGACCAAGCTTTAACTTCCTGACTGATGTCTGAGATGTTGCTTCAATATATCCACATAATTTTCCTTCCTCATGATGCCATCTATTTTGTGAAGTGCACCAGTCCCTCCTGCAGCAAAGCACCCCCACAGCATAATGCTGCCACCCCCGTGCTTTACGGTTGGGATGGTGTTCTTCAGCTTGCAAGCGACCCCCTTTTTCCTCCAAACATAACGATGGTCATTATGGCCAAACAGTTCTATTTTTGTTTTATCAGACGAGGACATTTCTCCAAAAAGTACGATCTTTGTCCCCATGTGCAGTGGCAAACCGTAGTCTGGCTTTTTTATGGCGGTTTTGGAGCAGTGGCTTCTTCCTTGCTGAGCGGCCTTTCAGGTTATGTCGATATAGGACTTGTTTTACTGTGGATATAGATACTTTTGTACCTGTTTCCTCCAGCATCTTCACAAGGTCCTTTGCTGTTGTTCTGGGATTGATTTGCACTTTTTGCACCAAGGTACGTTCATCTCTAGGAGACGGAACACGTCTCCTTCCTGAGCGGTATGACGACTGCATGGTCCCATGGTGTTTATACCTGCGTACTATTGTTTGTACAGATGAACGTGGTACCTTCAGGCGTTTGGAAATTGCTCCGAAGGATGAACCAGACTTCTGGAGGTCTACAATTGTATTTCTGAAGTCTTGGCTGATTTTATTTTATTTTTCCCATGATGTCAAGCAAAGAGTCACTGTGTTTGAAGGTAGGCCTTCAAATACAACCACAGGAACACCTCCAATTGACTCAAATTATGTCAATTAGAAGCTTCTAAAGCAATGACATCATTTTCTGGAATTTCCCAAGCTGTTTAAAGGCACAGTCAACATAATGTATGTAAACTTCTGACCCACTTGAATTGTGATACAGTGAATTATAAGTGAAATAATCTGTCTGTAAACAATTGTTGGAAAAATTACTTGTGTCATGCACAAAGTAGATGTCCTAACCGACTTGCTAAAATGATAGTTTGTTAACAAGAAATTTGTGGAGTGGTTGAAAAACAAGTTTTAATGACTTCAACCTAAGTGTATGTAAACTTCCGACTTCAACTGTACTTACTTACTAATTGGTCTTACTTATTTAATTGCTAATGAGCCTTACTTATTCCCTTGCATTCATAATTCTAAGAGAGGGTTATTGACAATCACAGCCTCCTACCTAATACTTTATAAGGAGGTGAGGGCCTTGACAGGAAAAGGCTCTCAGAATAAAAACAGAAAGAGAACCCTGTGCACAGCAGGCTCTCAGAATAACCTTGAATAATAACTTTGAATAATGTTATCAGCTGGCTTGTTCATTTAGACCCAGCAAATAACAGCAGACCACTTTACAAAGACTGGATGTGGTCTTCATTATTAGAGAGAGAGAGCCTGGTCTATAAGTGTTATTTTCTGACTTAAATTCCAAATCAGTGTATCTTCTTTTGCCATTTCAATGTTCTCTTGCCCAACATTAGCTGAAAAAACAAAGAGGGTGTTTCTTTATTCATATTCATGAACTGCCTTAAAGTATTTCGAGCTGATTTCTGTCAAGAGAGTAACTTATTTTACAGTTTATTTCTCTAAAGAAATTGGGAGATATTTTAATGTGTTGTCAACATTAGAGCCATCTCTTTCGTTGATACAATTGCAATCACCAAACATTGTCAATTATATTACCTCAATCACCTCAACTATGTCTTACCCCCAGCACATTGACTCGGTACTGGTAATCCTTGTGTATACTCTTGTTGTTGTAATTTTATGTTACTACTGTATTTCCTTTATCATTTTTTACACATTTTCGTACTTTTCAACTCTGCATTGTTGGGAAAGGGCTCGTAAGTAAGCATTTTACAGTAAAGTCTACACCTGTTGTATTCGGCGCATGTGACAACTAAGATTTTATTTGATAAATCTGTGCCACCCAATGCAGGTTTAGGCTACAAGGGAATTATAGGAAGATTAGTTCCATCCATACCATTTTCTCTCGTTCTCCTTATACCTAATGATAAGTGAATCATCACTAACCATGTACAGTGGGGAAAAAAAGTATTTAGTCAGCCACCAATTGTGCAAGTTCTCCCACTTAAAAAGATGAGAGAGGCCTGTAATTTTCATCATAGGTACACGTCAACTATGACAGACAAAATGAGAAAAAAGAATCCAGAAAATCACATTGTAGGATTTTTAATGAATTTATTTGCAAATAAGTATTTGGTCACCTACAAACAAGCAAGATTTCTGGCTCTCACAGACCTGTAACTTCTTCTTTAAGAGGCTCCTCTGTCCTCCACTCGTTACCTGTATTAATGGCACCTGTTTGAACTTGTTATCAGTATAAAAGACCCCTGTCCACAACCTCAAACAGTCACACTCCAAACTCCACTATGGCCAAGACCAAAGAGCTGTCAAAGGACACCAGAAACAAAATTGTAGACCTGCACCAGGCTGGGAAGACTGAATCTGCAATAGGTAAGCAGCTTGGTTTGAAGAAATCAACTGTGGGAGCAATTATTAGGAAATGGACGACATACAAGACCACTGATAATCTCCCTCGATCTGGGGCTCCACGCAAGATCTCACCCCGTGGGGTCAAAATGATCACAAGAATGGTGAGCAAAAATCCCAGAACCACACGGCGGGACCTAGTGAATGACCTGCAGAGAGCTGGGACCAAAGTAACGAAGCCTACCATCAGTAACACACTACGCCGCCAGGGACTAAAATCCTGCAGTGCAGACGTGTCCCCCTGCTTAAGCCAGTACATGTCCAGGCCCGTCTGAAGTTTGCTAGAGTGCATTTGGATGATCCAGAAGAGGATTGGGAGAATGTCATATGGTCAGATGAAACCAAAATAGAACTTTTTGGTAAAAACTCAACTCGTCGTGTTTGGAGGACAAAGAATGCTGACTTGCATCCAAAGAACACCATACCTACTGTGAAGCATGGGGGTGGAAACATCATGCTTTGGGGCTGTTTTTCTGCAAAGGGACCAGGACGACTGATCCATGTAAAGGAAAGAATGAATGGGGCCATGTATCGTGAGATTTTGAGTGAAAACCTCCTTCCATCAGTAAGGGCATTGAAGATGAAACGTGGCTGGGTCTTTCAGCATGACAATGATCCCAAACACACCACCCGGGCAACGAAGGAGTGGCTTCGTAAGAAGCATTTCAAGGTCCTGGAGTGGCCTAGCCAGTCTCCAGATCTCAACCCCATAGAAAATCTTTGGAGGGAGTTGAAAGTCTGTGTTGCCCAGCGATAGCCCCAAAACATCACTGCTCTAGAGGAGATCTGCATGGAGAAATGGGCCAAAATACCAGCAACAGTGTGTGAAAACCTTGTGAAGACTTACAGAAAACGTTTGACCTGTGTCATTGCCAACAAAGGTTATATAATAAAGTATTGAGAAACTTTTGTTATTGACCAAATACTTATTTTCCACCATAATTTGCTAATAAATTCATAAAAAATCCTACAATGTGACTTTCTGGATTTTATTTCCTCATTTTGTCTGTCATAGTTGACGTGTACCTATGATGAAAATTACAGGCCTCTCTCATCTTTTGAAGTGGGAGAACTTGCACATTTGGTGGCTGACTAAATACATTTTTTTCTCCACTGTACATGTTGGATCTGTGCAGCTTTTCAAAAATTTTGTTTTAATTTACCAATTTTCATTTAAATGATGACCTAAGCAAACCTAGTGGTCACTAAATGGCACAACCGCAGAATGGCTGACAGTATGATGAATTAGTCAATCCCAGTATACCAAGATAATCAACCAACATTACTGTAACCATGCCACAGATATCCCCACTCCTTGTTTGATTCCTAAACATCCCTATCATGTTTCATTTTGACTTCCCCCTTTAGTGTAAAAATGGAAGGGAAGTGTCTTGACCGTATGACCCATTCTGGAAATGGCAGATTTTTCATGTACCAGGCAGATATTAGTTGAAGTATTGCAAAATTGAGTACTGAGCAAATATTAGTAGAATTAAGTTGGTATCACTATACTTTACAGCCCCATTATTACCTGGTATTTACTTAAAGACTACATGGTAACAGCATAAGTACATATTGTTACCAAGAACGGTTGTTTTCAAAATATTTGAAGTAACTACTAGAAATTACCATTTGCAGTAATTTCACAATAAAAACCAGATAAACACCAGTGGTAATATTAATATAAAATAAAACATTATCTGTCATGCATTTGAGAAAAAGGTGGTGTTCAAATGTTTGACAATTGATCCGGTTTTAGAGTCATCTTTAATTACAGAATCCATTTTCATAAAAGGGAGAGTATGAATTAAATCAGCTCATTGGATGCCAGCTTCAAAGCAATAGTTTTTTATTCAACATTAGTCCTGTATGTCACACACACACGCATGCCAAACTGCGTATTTTTAATTGATTATGCAGCTGCCAGTGAATCCAGTTTATCTATCGAAAAAGCAGTTTGGCTTTAAAATGGCAGCCAAAATCCACTCCACCCCATCCATGGCTGCTTAATCCAAATCGTATCGTCATTGGCAATCTGCCACATAGATTCGTATTCTTGAGTGTAGCATCTAACCTTTTAGTAGACTGCAGTATATCTTACGTCCTGTCAAGGCAACTCAGGCCCTGAAATAATCAGGTCAACGGCGGGCTTGCAGCTGTTGGCTTTGAAGGCCAAAGTAAAATCAAGCCCGCACCATTCTACCATCTAAAAGAGTCCATGCTTTGATTTCACTTTTAACACCCTCCATTTGAACAGATGCTTTCAGCCCCCCTGTCTCCATGTTGTTTCTGTCAGCAAAATCTCAACTAAAGTCCATGAGTTTTTAACAATTTATCACATCCTTCTACAACTATTGAGAGTATGATCCTTAAATAACCAGTTAGTGGATGAAGATGACAATGATTAGTACCCCTGGCTTCTGACAGCAATGAAATTGGCTGGATGGGCTTACCTGGTAGATAACAACCCGGAACTTGTTCTTGGCCAACAGTTCCTCCTGGGTTATTTCCACCTTCTTGACCCGGATGTTCTGATTCTCCACCCGTACCCGGACGTCCTTGATGTGGCAGCTGACCTTGCGCGTCTTCTCCAGCAGCTTGTCCACTGTGCTGCTGGTGGCGGCATGGTTTACCGTCAGCTTCACCACGTCCTCCTGGATGGTCTTGACACTGTTCTCCAGCTCTAGCTGCCTCTCCTCCATACGCGCCTGGCATGCCTGCACGTTGTCAATGATGCCTGCCACGCGCTCCAATAGCGCCATGATGGAAGTCGTATCGTCCCCCACAGCCAGACCCAGTTTATCAGCCATGATTGGTGTCGTCAACCGCCTCGTCTCGGATCCAAAGGGAAAAGGTTGAGGTTAGAAATCTTTGTTTTTCTTAGTGGTCAGTAGAAACCGCAGAAAGGGTAACCAGGCCTCTAGGTAGCTTTGACCTGAGACTTGTCAGACCAGCAGGTGTTGGGTAGGGTTGGGTTGCTGGATCATTGGGCCATGGAGGGCAGCGGACACCTCGGCCAAAGAGACTCACCCTGCGACTGGTCCCTCACCCAGGTCAAATGCAAAAGAACATGGAGGCTCCACCCTAGGGTCAGAGAGATGAAGAGAGATGAGAGAGCGAGATAGAGAGAGAGAGATAGAAGAGAGAGAGAGAAGAGAGAGAGAGAGAGAGATCGATGAAACGTATCGATACGAGAGACTCTCTCTCGGACTCTATAGCCTCTCTCCTCCTCTCTCTCTCCTTCTCTCTCTCTCCTCTTCTAGCTCTCTCGTATCTCTCTCTCTCTCTCTCTCTCTCTCTCTCGCTCCCTCTCTGATCTCTCTCTCCTCTCTATTCTCCTCGCTCTCTCTCTCTCTCGGTCTCTCTCTCTCGACTCCTCTCTCTCTCTGCTCTCTCGTCTCTCTGATCTCTTCATCTCTTTCTTATCTCGATCTGGGGGCCAGACTTGACATGCGTTCGCCCCAGCTAAAAATACTGAGCGTTAAGTGACTCCTCTACATTTTTGGAAGATGTGTGGCTGGGATAATGGAAACCCCCCTATCCATTCTACACTCATCTTCTATAAATGAGTTATTCTTTTTCCGTTGCACCATTGGACAACTAGCTATGTATTGCTTTGAGCGCCTACAGCACGATCAGGAACATGCCTTTTAATTGGAAAAACCTCTATTGGGCTATCATCAAATACAGTAGACCTTTTACACTAAGGTACATGCCAACTGTTGTCCCATTTAACATTGGTATCCAGAGGTCTATGCCATCCCCCGGCAGACACCTAGGAACAGAGGTTGGGCATGCGTTCCAAGAAGTATATGCTAGTATGGATGTTGGAACAGCCCAGGCCTCCTGCATACTATGGGAGTGACATCACATTTGTGACCTTGTGGTACTGCATACAGACATAAAACATGGGTCCAACAGGATTACAGGCCTGAGAGTTCAATAATTGCCTCCATCACTTTGCAATCTGTGCAAGGCGATCCTTCCTTACAGGGAGAGGTCTAGGCACCTCCAGTGGGAACTAGGGAGGGAAAAGGGGACTCTCCAACTCCTAAAATTATGCCACCAGCTGCTGTCTATAATTAAACTCTGGGCATATCTATAATTATCCATGTCCTGTCATAGCAGAGGGCAGGCTTACTTCATACAAATGAACTACTTCATTTCCCCCTCACTCACTAACATAACCCACTGTATATAATATCCCCATCTCCCCATGTTGTGCCCCTCCCGAGAACTCTTAAACTATTTCACACCCCTGTTTTAAGCTGACAGAATTTAACTCCTTACAATCACAGGATAGGAACAGAGGGCAGTCCTTGATAGAATTGGCTAAACCGGTCAAGTAATATATGCCATTTAGCAGACACTTATCCAAAGTGACTTACAGTCATGCGTGCATGCATTTTATGAATGGGTGGTCCCAGGAATTGAACCCGCTTCCCTGGTGTTAGAAGCGCCATGCTCTACCAACTGAGCTACAAAGTGTCTGTAAATGTAATGAATGTTGAGAAGTGAAAGTGTCTGCTGCCAGACACTTTTGTACCCATCAGCTTTGTACCCACCAGGGTTATTTCTAGAAAATGACATACTTATTCTGTGAAAGGGGTGTTAATTTACTACTGTGTATAACAAATTATGACATTTCGTAATTTCAATTTAACTCAGTCCAAATTTTGAAAAGCTAAAAAGCTCTAAGATTTTAGCACATTCATGTTTGAATAGTCATTCACCCTAATCCTATTCATTGACATGGAATCTTTGGAGCCATTTTGACGGTAATGATCAGAGGTATAACAGACACTGTATGTGGCTTTGTCTCCCTCTGCTGGAGCCTTGTGTCTACTGAAGTTCTAATGAGGTCACCAATGTTATGGCTTTTTACACATACCCAAGTAAACCAAAAACGTAGTTAAAACCAACGTAATTGTGTCAGAGTAATATTGTCTATTATTATTATTATTATTAAATATCTTTTTTATTAATTGCACCCGGGGGGGCCCCAGAACCTAGTTTGGGATACCCTGTTCTGGATGATTGTAGCTCAGGTCCAGCTCTCTCAGGTGTGAGGGGTTAGATCTCAGAGACAAAGACAGAGAAGACAAAGCCTGCAAAATGACAACCTGCAAAATAATCTGTAAAATCTAGATCTGAAAAATAACGGTCATACATAACGTTAACGTAGATGGTACTACAGAGGTCTCAAACTATCAACCTTTCCTTCACATTACATCCACATTTCTAGAGAAAATCAGTGAATGCAACTGAATATTTTATATCTCGTACACACTAAAAGTACTGACCTCAGTGTCTCCAATTTACAGCAGGGATTCCCAGTTTCACTCCTGAATCCTGTAGGTCATTGTAGCTCCGGTCCAACTCCCTCAGATGTGAAGAGTGTGAGCTCAGAACTGATGCCAACACTTCACAGCCTTTCTCTTTGAATTGACATTGCTTCAACCTGGACAAGAGAAATGAATAATAATTATACAATTTGGGCCATGTACAATCTACAGACAACTGAAAAGGTTTGATCATAAACAGCATTTGTCTCCAGCCTGCAGTGTGGATTCCCCAGTCTTTTGTTTGTAGGCCTCGTATAATAGTCTGATTGGACTCTAGTGAGAGGCCGAGATGGAAACAGAGGAGCAGGTCCAGGTGTCCATTCATACTCTGTAAGGACTTATCCACTGCTTTCTTGTATACTGTATGTTGATTGAAGGTTGACATTTCAACAATGTTGGAAATTTGGAAACTGATCTCTGGCTGACTAGTGGATTCGTATTGCTGTCATTGAAGGTGAGAAACACATATAAAGCAGCCAGAAACTCCTGGATGCTCAGATGCACAAAGCAGTAGACCTTTCCATGGTGCAGCCCATAATCCTCTCTGAAGATCTGTGTACACACTCCTGAGTACACTGACGCATCTCTGACACCAATGCCGCACTCTCTCAGGTCTTCCTCGTAGAAAATCTGATTGCCTTTCTCCAGCTGTTTGAAGGCCAGCTTTCCCAGTGCCAGAATGCTCTTTTTACACCAGTCAAGGTCCCCGTCTTGGTCTCTGACATACTTCTGATTCCTCTGTTTGGTTTGAAATATCAGGAAATATATGTACAGTTGAAGTCGGAAGTTTCGATACATTTAAACTCAGTTTTTCACAATTCCTGACATTTAATCCTAGTAAAAAGTCCCTGTTTTAGGACAGTTAGGATCACCACTTTATTTTAAGAATGTGAAATGTCAGAATAATAGCAGAGAGAATTATTTATTTCAGCTTTTATTTCTTTCATCAAATTCCCAGTGGGTCAGAAGTTTACATGCACTCAATTAGTATTTGGTAGCATTTCCTTTAAATTGTTTAACTTGGGCCAAACGTTTCGGGTAGCCTTCCACAAGCTTCCCACAATAAGTTGGGTGAATTTTGGCCCATTCCTCCTGACAGAGCTGGTGTAACTGAGTCAGGTTTGTAGGCCTCCTTGCTCGCACACGCTTTTTCACTTCTGCCCACACATTTTCTATAGGATTGAGGTCAGGGTTTTGTGATGGCCACTCCAATACCTTGACTTTGTTGTCCTTAAGCCATTTTGCCACAACTTTGGAAGTATGCTTGGGGTCATTGTCCATTTGGAAGACCCATATGCGACCAAGCTTTAACTTCCTGACTGATGTCTTGAGATGTTGCTTCAATATATCCACATAACTTTCCTTCCTCATGATGCCATCTATTTTGTGAAGTGCACCAGCCCCTCCTGCAGTAAAGCACCCTCACAGCATGATGCTGCCACCCCCGCTCTTCACGGTTGGGATGGTGTTCTTCGGCTTGCAAGCGTTCCCCTTTTTCCTCCAAACATAACGATGGTCATTATGGCCAAACAGTTCTATTTTTGTTTCATCAGACAAGAGGACATTTCTCCAAAAAGTACGATCTTTGTCCCCATGTGCAGTTGCAAACCGTAGTCTGGCTTTTTTATGGCGGTTTTGGAGCAGTGTCTTCTTCCTTGCTGAGCGGCCTTTCAGGTTATGTCGATATAGGACTCGTTTTACTGTGGATATAGAAACTTTTGTACCTGTTTCCTCCAGCATCTTCACAAGGTCCTTTGCTGTTGTTCTGGGATTGATTTGCACTTTTCGCACCAAAGTACGTTCATCTCTAGGAGACAGAACGCGTCTCCTTCCTGAGCGGTATGACGGCTGCGTGGTCCCATGGTGTTTATACTTGCGAACTATTGTTTGTACAGATGAACGTTGTACCTTCAGGCATTTGGAAATTGCTCCCAAGGATGAACCAGACTTGTGGAGGTCTACAATTTTTTGGCTGATTTCTTTTGATTTTCCCATGATGTCAAGCAAAGAGGCACTGAGTTTGAAGATAGGCCTTGAAATACATCCACAGGTACACCTCCAATTGACTCAAATGATGTCAATTAGCCTACCAGATGCTTCTAAAGCCATGACATCATTTTCTGGAATTTTTCAAGCTGTTTAAAGGCACAGTCAACTTAGTGTATGTAAACTTCTGACCCACTTGAATTGTGATACAGTGAATTATAAGTGAAATAATCTGTCTGTAAACAATTGTTGGAAAGATTACTTGTGTCATGCACAAAGTAGATGTCCTAACCGACTTGCCAAAACTATAGTTTGCTAACAAGACATTTGTGGAGTGGTTGAAAAACGAGTTTTAATGACTCAAATCTAAGTGTATGTAAACTTCCGACTTCAACTGTACATTTTAGTAAGAGTGTAGGGGATCACTCCACACTCTGCTTCACCTAACAGTATCTGTAGAACAGTTGAAGTAATCCCATAGAAGACAGGTATATGGCACATGATGTGGAGGCTCCTTGACGTCTTTATGTGTGAGATTATTCTGCTGGCTAGGTTCTCATCAGGGATTCTCTTCCTGAAGTACTCCTCCTTCTGCGGGTTATTGAACTCTCGTACCTCTGTCACCTGGCCAACACACTCAGGAGGGATCTGATTGGCTGCTGCAGGACGGGAGGTTATCCAGAGGTTTCTCAGCAGCATGTCCACGGTGGTTGGCTTTGTGACATCGTACAAG